TAACAATTACAATGGAGACAATATCATAATAATCCCCGTTTTTAAAAGGCATTCAAACTTGTTATCTTGTGTTACTGAGCTATTGTTATATTGTGCTGAAAATTTATAAAACCGATCGTGATGTAAATAATTACCGAACATGCGAAAAACAAAACTTATTCCACTAAAGGGCCATAGTTTCACCATCTCCGATTAAATGTTAATCAATGATTAACATTTAATCGGAGTTGGTAAAACTGTCCCTAAGTTAACTATTGCTGCTCTTATTTCTCATTTTGCTTCTACTTTTATTTTCTATTCTGATTTTTATTGTTCTCATTCTGTTTTGTCTTCTTTTTTCAAAGGCATCCTTTCAGGTGGCTTCCGATGTGGCTACAGATGATTATCGATACTTTTGTTACAAAGTATTTGTTTCGAGTACCTGGGACTAAATATAATTTTGGAAAATAACAAATAAGGCCGCTGAAATGTAATTCTTCTAATCACGATAATACATATTAATCAGGAGGTTTTGAAACTCGTTTAGCACTGGAGCCTGCTTTGTTGAACTTGCTGGAGGACTTACCGTAATCCCGTGAACCACTTTTCTCTAATTTCGTATTCTGCATACCCTCGGGATTGAAAATAGAACTGTAAAATAACATGCTGGAGAATATCTACATACGGGCTGAGTAATTAATAGCATTAACGATGCGTTTAATGCAACAGCAAAGAAAGTCGAGCGTCTTTTTCAAAAGACACAATTATTCTACTTTCTCCTAATGACCAACACTGCTGAAGCATGATGCTAATATTTGCATTGTTTTTCATCTTCTTCACTATATATGTGAACGATCGACTCAACCTATATGATAAATTAACCGACAATACAAATCGGAATGAGTGGAAAACAATACCGATTTATCGAATTTCAGTAATCTAGTGTCTACTGTTTTTCCTATGCTCTTATCATAAGGTGCGATAGTCGTTAAGTGTTCATATTGTTCATTTTCTATTTAAAAATCCATTCTTACTACTAAGGATTAATCAGGGTGTCTACTAACCGGGAAATTAATTTGACCGGGAAAAGCCGGGAATAAGACAGGAATTTTATACTAAACCGGCAATTTTTTCATCAAATTAAAAAAAGTTATTATATTTTAATTTGCTTTAAAAAATAGCTTTTTATTTCAAGATATTTATACTGTTCTCTAAATTTGAATTAGTTAATAATAATTAATTTGATAGTAAAAAATCAGTCACTAATTCAAATATAGTATGTAAATAAATTTAAAAAAAATTATCGAATGAATAGAAATTTTGTGAAATTTAACTGAAAATAATTAAATTTGTTAAAGAATTTCATTAAAAACTTTTTAACAAATCGAATTTTCAAAGTATTTTAATTTAATAATTGATAAATAATTGAGTTTTATAAAGAGTCACATTCTAATGTATTCATGTATCTTTGTACGAAGATTAATAATTAAAACTTTTATTAGTTAATTTAAAAAAAGATACACACTTCAAATTTTTTAATAAAATTGAATTTCCGTAAAGTTTTTTCGAAAATTCTGAAAAATAAGATTTTAGAAATTTTTCAATTCTATTGTTTCAAGATAATTGAATTTTTATAAACAGATAATTGAAAATTTTTTAAATAATTGAAATTTCTTTACATTCTATTAAAAATAATTCAATTCTTTTAAAGAATTTTATTTAAATTTTTCGAAAATAATCAAGGGAACTTAGTCACCGTTATTATAATTTTATTTTCAAAAATTTTTTCGCCATATCAATTATTTTCATAAATACTAAACTTGATTGCAGAATTTCAATTATTTTTAATACAATTTTAATCGAATTCTTCGAAAAATGTTATGAAAATCGTCAAAAGAATTCAATTATTTCTAGAAACTGTAAATAAATTCTTCAGATTTACTAAATTCTTTTGAATATTATTTTTAAAAAATATTCTTCACAAGAATTCAATTAATATTTTAAGAGAAAATGAAAAAATTTACAAGAATTCAATTATGATAAAAAATTTTAAAAAATTCTTGTCAAAATTTCAATTTTCTTTATAAATAATAAAATTATTCTCCGAAATTCAAATATTTTCAAAAATTCTCCTCATCTCAATGATTTTCAATATCTACTATTTTAATAAAATTTTTCAAAAGAATTCAATGTTTTAAAAGAAAAATTTTGATAAAATTCTACGCAAACATTTAATTATTTTCATAAAATAAAAAAAATTTCAAAGGAATTCAATTATTTACAAATTTGTTATAAATTACTTAGCAATAATGTAATTATTTTTATAAATAATAAAATTTTTTATAAAATTCAATTATTCTCATAATTAATCAAATTCTCTTTAGGAATTAATAAAATTCTTTGCAAAATTCAATTATTTTCAAAAGTAATAAAATTCTTCGAAGAATTTCAATTACCTATTTAAAAAAATTTTGACGAATATCTTGTCAAGAATTCAATTATCTTTACAAATAGCAAAATTTTTCGCTAAAAATTCAATTATTTTCAAAAATTTAAATAAAATTCTCTGCAAAATTTCAATTATTTTCAAAAGCTATTCGCAATTCAATAATTTTCAATATTCACTATTTGCATAAAATTTATCAAAAGATTTAATTATTAAAGAAAATTTTTGATAGAATTCTACGAAAACATTCAATTATTTTTATAAATAATAAAATTTCATTTAGGAATTCAATTATTTTCATCGCAGAATTTCAAATATTTTTAATCTTTTTAATACAATTTTAAATAAATTTCTCGAAAAATGTAATTATTCTTAAAAATTTTATTAAAATTCGTCGAAACAATTCAATTATTTCTAGAAACTATAAAAAAAATTCTTCTCAAGAATTCAATTGTTTTCAATATAATTTTAATAAAATTTCACTAATGGATTCAATTAAATTTTTTTCAATTTTTCATAACATTTTTTGAAATAAGAATTAAATTATTTTTAAAAGTAATAAATTTCTTCGCAGAAATTCAATTATGTTTAAAAGTTTTTTTAAATTCTCCTCAAAATTTCAATTCTTTTTAGAAATACTAAAATTCTTCTCCGAAATTCAATTATTTTCAAAAATTTTAATAAAATTCTACGCAAATATTTAATTACTTTCATAAAATAAATAATAACATTCTTTGGAAGGATTCAATTATTTTTAAAAATAGTAAAATTCTTTGTAGAAATTCAATTAGTATCTATACATTTTAATAAAATGGAATTAATCAAATTTTCAATTATAATTATGAACAGACAAGATTATTTTAAAAAATTGAAAAAAATCTTTTTGTTTAATTCAATTATTTTCCAAATTTTGAATTAAAATTAATAAAAAGAACATTATTTTTAAAAAATTTAAAGAAACTCATCAAAAGAATTTAATTATTCATAAAAACTCTAATAAAAATTTTGGAAGCCATTTGTAGATTTATTTATGTTCGAAATGAAATAAATTTAAATTTGATGAGAAAAAAACCGGCAAAAATTAGGACAAAGCCAGGAATTTTGTTGAACGAAAATAGTAGATACCCTTAAGAATTATTGCTCTTTTTAATAAATATATAATAGAAATATCGTTCTAATAATTTTTTGCGCACTAGTGCCATTAAGAACACAATGTTACAATTTCTGCGATTTCTCATATAGTTTATATATTGTGCACCTTACGCGAACAGGAATTCCTTTTATCGTTTATTTTTATCAAATCTTCATGCAGATACACCGTTATACCTTTAACGCTCGGTTTGACTGTTTCCTCTGCGCAAACCTTCCGAGAGTTGAATTTTAGTTCTGGATTCTATTTTGCACAAACGCGATATATCCGTACATGCTTCGATACCTCTTTTACTACACTAATAATCTTATTATGATTGCTATCGCAAAAAACAGTAAAATTAACATAAAAATGTGAAATTAACTGTATATTATAGATATATTGATATTGAACAACATTGTATCAAGCAAATATTTTCTTTAAACTTTTCATTATTATTCGCATTATTATAATAAAGTTGAGAGAAATTATTGAAGAATTACGTATTATTTCCGATATAGTATACATAATTATAAATTGAAATAGAATTTCTTCCACATTTACATGAATACCTGGGTTTTAATTTTTTTAGACTATAATAATTAAATGAAATATGTATCGATTACTTGAATTTTTTGCCAGTATTTATGAGCTCGTAAAATTGGTTGAATGCAATTAGATGTGTACATAATGTGCATTGAGAAGATTAGGAGAAGAAGAAAAATGTGCTTCGCGTACAAACTTGTGTTGAAGAAATTGGTCTTGGGGTCATAAAGATTTATGCCGGCCTATAATCCTCGGTACTTGAAGAAGTGACGCCGCCACCAATATTCTCGGGCTTCCCCGCTATGTCTATATTGTCCATTCCTAAGCGCATGAAATCATGAATGCTAATTGTTTTTCAAAATTACCACAGACGTATTATTATTATTGCTAATAATAATTAACGTTACTTTCAAACATACATAGAGAAGAATAGAATTAAATAATTTTTGTAAATAGTGGAAAAATCGAAAAGAATTACATTTTCACTATAGAGAAATAAAATATATTTTCCTGAAAGAATTGTGTGCGACATTGGCTGTTAATCGATGGGACGAACGGTACTCCGGTAGTTGACAATTCTCGAGACTGGAGTCGGTGACCGATGTGACGTCCGTTGCGTATGAAAAAAACCACTGTGATCTTTCTATATCTTCGTCTTGTTTTCAATTGAAATTCATCATCTCTATGTATGCGCTTAAATTTAAACGCCAAACACCGTTATTATTATAATTTCATTCAAATCTTCTATGGTCGGTGAATTATTCAGTATATTGAATGCTTCACTCTTAATTGCCAAGTAAGAGATTTAAAAAATGTAGGAAAATTCCTTTAAGAGCAAATTTAAAAAAAACTAATAGTTTTGATTCTTTCTGTTAATGAAAAATTGTCTTTTGATTACAGGTGTCATATCCATACAAAATGATCCAACTCTTTCAAAGTCCTGGCTGGATAGTACGATTCTCAGTGCAAGTGCATATACGGGTCCGGAAAGAACCTCCAGTGACTCGAAAAATATCGAATCGTTAAATCTCCAAAGAACACTTCCGGCCTTTCAACTAGAAAGCTCAAAGAGTGTCAGTGATTTCGATTTAGAGGAAACGCATCATGTCAAAAAAGACTTAAGCACTTCCGAACCGATCGATGTTTTGACATCTTCGAAATTTATCAATCACATCGATGGAAATAACATCGAAGTGAAACCTGGAGACTACTATCCGTGAGTTTTACAAATTTTACAAAATTATACCTAGTTTCAACATTAATTTGAATTTTAGATTAATTTTGCAGATAAGAAAAGAAAAGAAAAGAAAGTTTTAATTCTTGAATATTGATTTACAGAATAGTGTCTTCGACAAATACGATAAAGTTTTCGGGGGAAGGACTGGGGGCTTCGCAGAAAGAAAATCCTCTGGCGAAGCCCGAACAACCGACTGGACCCGGGAGACAACGAGCACGGCACATCGAAGAGAGAAAACCGCGTCTAGAATTGTCGAGGAATTATAATGAGCACGCTGCTCCGGCTATTATCCAGACCTCTGCCTCTGGACAAAGGCAGGCGAATCCAGATATTCAGGATATCATAACAGGCATTGTCAAACTCCTTAATGGAAATGTCAATGTTGCTGTTAACACGGCGAAGCCTATTAAGACCACCAGGTATTAACCTTCTTCTCCGACAACTATTTTTTTTATACTTTTACAATCATTATTTTTCATTTTTAACTTGTTATTAAAGTTTTCATTCTAGAATAAATAATCGAGGACCTCCGAGGATCTCCGACATGGCCCCATTGCCGCCAGACTTCAACACCCCGGGCATGAATCCTCCGCCTTTGCCGCCACCTCAATCGGAGCCACCCTATCCTTTCGAAACGCCCCCACCTCCGATCACATCTTCGAAGAAACCACTATTGCCGGACTTGCCGATGAGACCCTTTATCACTGGAGTTCCGCTTCCTGAGTCTATAGTTCCTCAGGAGCGGCCTTGGCAGAGACCCTTTAATCGACCTGGTGAGTTATCATTGTGTAGAAGGATTTCCTAAAAATAAAACCAGAGTGTCTACTAACTGGGAAATCCGGGAAATAGTCGGGAATTTAATTTGACCAGGAAAAACCAGGAGTTTTATACCAAAACCGGGAATTTTTTCACCAAATAAAATTAGAAACAGTTTTATTATTATTAAAATTTTTTAATAAAATTGAATTTTCGCAAAGTTTTTTTGAAAATTCTCAAAAATAAGATTTTGGAAATTTTCCAATTCTGTTGTTTCAAGATAATTGAATTTTTATAAACAAATAATTGAAAATTTTTGAAATAATTCAAATTTCTTTACATTCTATTAAAAATAATTTAATTCTTTTAAAGAATTTTTAAAAAAATTTTCGAAAATAATCAAGGGAAGTTAGTTATCGTAATTATAATTTTATTTTTAAAAATTTCTTCGCAATATATTTAATTATTTTCATAAATAATAAAACTCATTGCAGAATTTTAATTATTTTTAATACAATTTTAATCAAATTCCTCGAAAAATGTAATTATTCTTAAAAATTTTATTAAAATTCGTCAAAAGAATTCAATTATTTCTAGAAACTGTAAAAAAAATGCTTTACAAGAATTCTATTATTTCCATAAATAGCAAAATTCTTTAGACTTATTAAATTCATTTGAATATTATTTTCAAAAAAAATTCTTCGCAAGAATTCAATTATTTTCATAAATTTTCATAAAATTCTAGAAAACAATTCAATTATTTCAAAGGTAATAAAATTCTTTGCAGAAATTCAATTATGTTTCAAAATTTATTTAAATTCTCCTCAAAATTTCATATTATTTTTATAAATAATTAAATTGTTCTCCAAAATTCAATTATTTTCAACAATTTTAACAAAATTCTTATCAAAATTTCAATTATTTTCAATAAATTTCCTTAATTCAATGATTTTCAATATCTACTATTTTAATAAAATTATGTGAAAGAAATCAATTATTTACCAAATTTTAATAAAATTATGTGAAAGAAATCAATTATTTACCAAATTTTAATAAAATTCTTTCATAAAATAAATTTTTTTTCCTTGAAAAATTTAATTATTCTTAAAGAATTTTATTAAAATTCGTCGAAAGAATTCAGCTGTTTTCAAAAAATTTATCGAAATTCAATTATTTTCAATTATTTTAATAAAAAATTTCCAAAGTATTGAATTATCAAAAAAATCCTTTTTATAAAATTTATTCAATTATTATTTTCAGAGGAAATAAAATATTTTACAGGATTTCAATTTTTTAAAGAAATTTTAATTATTTTTAATAAGATTTTAAATAAATTTATCGAAAAATGGATATTATTCTCAAAAATTATATTTATTTATGCAATCATTTTCCAAAAATTTTATTTATATTCAATTATTTTCACAAACAAAATACAAATTTTCTCTTGAATTTAATTATTGAAAAATTTGTAATAAAATTCTATGTAAGAATTCAATTATTTTCTTAAATATTAAAATTATTGCAAATTCAATTATTTTCATAATATAATAAAATTATTTTTAGGAATTCAATTATTTTTATAAATAATAAATGGAATTTCAATTATTTTTAATACAATTTTAATCGAATTCCTCGAAAAATGTAATTATTCTTAAAATTTTTATTAAAATTCGTGGAAAGAATTAAATTATTTTAACAAAATTATTTTCAAGAATTTTAAGAAAATTCTACGCAAACATTTAATTATTTTCAAAAATAATAACATTATTTTAAAGGATTCAATTTTATAAATATAAAATTCTTTGCAGAAATTCAATTAGTTTCTATACATTTTAATAAAAATGAATTAATCAAATTTTCAATTATACTTATGAACAGACAAGATTATTTTAAAAAATTGAAAAAATTCTTTGCTTAATTCAATTATTTCCCAAAATTTTTAACTAAAATGATTAAAATAACATTATTTTCAAAAAATTTAAAGAAACTCATCAAAAAAATTTAATTATTCATAAAAACTCTAATAAAAATTTTGGAAGCCATTTGTAGATTTATCTATGTTCGAAATTAAATAAATTTAAATTTGATGAGAAAAAAAACGGGAAAAATTAAGACAAAGCCGGGAAAAAACCGGGAATTTTTTGGAACGAAAATAGTAGACACCCTGAAAATATTTCCCCCCAGTATTAGTTAACAATGTAATGGAGTTAAAATTTTATTTGTGTATTTCATTCCAGGTAACAATCGTCGACCGATTCCACCTTACAAGCCTTTACCAACGCAATCATCTTTTCATAAGGAAAAACCCCAAAAAGTCGACAAGCCGTTAGTCGTTCAGAGTCCTGGCTCCATTACAGAACAAAAACCTGGAAATAAAGTTGATAACCCCGAGGACATTCATACAACAGAAAGTACAAAAAGGCCAGAGACAGATTACTTTTTTACCAACAAATATCAAGATACTGATTTAAAACCCAATCAGCACACAACGACGGAAAAGTCATTGGAGGAAGTGAAGAATCAAGAGATTTTATCGCTGAATAAGTCGCAAACAATTTCCATTTCTAATCAACTGATGAACGGAATAGTTTCGGATACACTTTTACCAAAGCCTGTTATTCCTTTAGAAACGGAATCTCCTCTCGTTTTACACTCGAAAGACTTTGTACAGACGGACGATTCTGATAACGGTGTCATACCTTCGATCAGTCCGGAAACGACCACGCAACCTGTGTTTCAAACGACTCTGAACATAGAGACGAGTTCGTCGGTGCAACTCATTGAGAACACGCAAATTGTCACCGAGATACATCCGACCATCATTCCGCTGGAGGAATCTTCAACAATTATCCCATCGGTCTTGAATCTCGAACCGAGTAGAGTTGTTAAAGAGGATACTGAAATTAAATCGACATCCGCAATTCCAACCGAGGGATTGACCAACTCTGTTACGAAAATGGAATCTCCTCCTTTCAGGACTCCTGTTTATCCATTTTATTCTGCGCCAGCAACGAATTTCTTCTCAAAATATCCAGGTACATTTTTCTCATTATGACAATTTATATACACAGAGTAAATTTAAATGACGACTAGCAACAATTCTAACTTCTTACTTACTTTTTTAAATAAAATTAGCAATTTTAAAAATAATGGAATTTAAAACTTTTCATTTCAAATTTTTGTTGAAAACACTAAAAAAAATTCAATTTCGGAGAAATTGCAATTAATTGCAGAAATTTAATTATTTTCAAAAGTAATAAAATTCTTTTCATAAAATTCAAATTATATTCCAAATTTAAAACAAATTCTCGATAAAATCCCGATTATTATCTTTATAAATAAAAAAAAAATTCTTCTTCAAAATTCAATTATTTTCAAAAATTTTCCTCATTTCAATAATTTTCAATATCTACTATTTTAATAAAATTACAAATTACCCAAATGAATTCAATTATTTAAAAACAATTTTAATAAAATTGTACGCAAACATTTAATTATTGTAATGTTTTCTTTTTATTTTCTAAAAATTTAAAAAGTTTCAATGTCATTTTCAATTAAAATTATTGACAAATAGAATTTATAAACATTTTTTTCCCTTATTTTTAAAAAACTGAATTTTATTAATAGCAAAATTGTAATTAGGAAATAGAAACCGATGCAAATTGTTTCCTTCAGAAAATTTAGAATTTTCTATAAAAATATTAAGGAACGGGAATATGTAATGTTTTCTTTCCTCAATCGAGAATATAAAAAGGAATTTAACTTTTCAGTTGCCACGGACCAGTATCGTCCTCGACCTGGAATAGTTCTCGACGATACCCTCGATTACACAGGTGTGCATGGTGTCAGTACGCAAAGACCTTATGGACCACCAAGACATCCTCAGAGTCATGAAACTTTTGATGTTGTTGTTTCTGCTATTCAGGGTCCCGGTGGTAGTTCTGGTACGTGAAATTAATTTAAATTAAGCCTTATAAAATGAGTACAATCGCCGATAATAAAGAATTTGAATTCTAGGAGAATCGGTACGAGTACCAATCAATGGCATCAATAACGAAGTAATTTTAACATCAGCTGTTGAAGGGCAAGGTTTCGTCAGTATCGACGGTAAAAGGACATATCTAAATCTATTTGAGAGCACAAGTCAAAATGTAGGAAGTAGTAAACCGTCATTCCCTGCAACTAGAACTCACGCACCACCACCACTTATAGGAGCTGGGTTTGTACTTTTTTATTCTCATTTCGGTATTTAATAACTTTCAATGTTTAATAACAATTTTTAATAATTTAAACATTTTTTTTAACAATTTATACAAATTAAATAAATTTGTGGGTACCAATTTTTCTAGATTTGCTGTAGCACAAGAGAATAATGCGGCAGTTACTCCTCGGCCCGTGACACCAGTTAGAAGACCAACTTTCCATCGAAGACCATCTCAACCTCCAGTGCGAATTGATACTTGTATCGTCGGTGATTCGAGTACATGTGACGCCAGTCAACACGAGGCTTGTGCTACTGTCCAGGGTGTTTCGGCCTGTCACTGCAAACCTGGATTCGCAAGACTGCAACATTCACTTCCTTGTAAAAGTGAGTTTCTTTCAACAATTTCGATAAGAATTTAAATTTTCCACACAAAATAAAAATTTAATTACTTTTTCAAATTTTTAAATTATTCTTTCATATTAAATAAAGAGGAATTTACTAAAATGAAGAAATTAAATCAATGATTTTGAAGAATTTTAAAAGAAGAATTTTTAAAACAGTTTTTCAAATAACATTTTAATGAAATCATTTCAGAAATCGTGAGCGTTGTTGTTTCAATCAGAGTAGACAAACTCTATGATAAGAAAGTAGTTTGGGATAAAGAACTAAAGGAAAAAGATTCAGAATCTTACCAGTTACTCGCTCATGAGGCAAACAGAGCAGTAAGTAGTTTAACTGATAAAATTTATTATTAAAGTAAATCAAGTATAAGTATTTAATACTTTAATAATTGTTAAAAAAGAAATTGCTGTATGCTTGTTTCTTGATTACGAAATGCAATAATTTGATTTTTTTAAATTGCAGATCGAATCCGCAATGTCAATGACTCCATTTTCTGACGAATACGTAGTTTCTTTAATAAACAATGTTTATCAAGGCGATGTGAGTCAAGGGCAAGGTGGAGTTTTTGTGAACGCAACTTTAAAACTTGCTCACGAGTCGAGAACATCAAGATCGAGTCTCGCTGGAGAACTTCAACGACATCTTCTCGGTGTTATACACAGAAGAAATAATAATATTGGAAGTAGTGCTCTCTACGTTGAGAGTCCAGCAGGATCTATTTCCAATTTACAAGGTATCTTTCTCATTTTTTCATACTAAAACTGTAAATTTATTATTTCTTCAATAATTCAAATTTTTCTGACATTAGTTACATTTTTTAATGTATATTTCAATAATAATTAAAAATAATTAATTTATAGAAGAATTTTAGTTAAAAACACTTTAAAAAATGAATTGAGGAGTTAGAAATGATTGGAAAAATTTAATTATTTACAAAAGTAATAAAATTTTTGCAGAAATTCAATTATGTTCAAAAATTATTTTAAATTCTCGTCAAAATTTCAATTATCTTTATAAATGATAAAATTCAATTATTTTCAACAATTTTAATAAAATTCTTGTCAAAAATTTCAATTATTTTCAAAAAATTTCCTTAATTCAATGATTTTCAATATCTCTTTTAATAAAATTATACAAAAGAAATCAATTATTTAACAAAATTTTAATCAAATTCTTTCATAAATATTTTTTTTCATTGAAAAATGTAATTATTCTTAAAGAATTTTATTAAAATTCGTCGAAAGAATTCAGCTGTTTTGAAAACATTTATCGAAATTCAATTATTTTCAATTACGAATAAAGATGTCGACTTTATTCAATTATTTTCAATTATTTTAATAAAAAATCCTACAAGAATTGATTATCAAAAAAATATTTTGTATAAAATTCATTCGCAAGAATTCAATTATTATTTTCAGAGAAAATAAAACTTTTACTGGAATTCAATTATTTAAATAAAATTTTGAGAAAATTCTTATAAAGAATTCAATTATTTTTATAAATAATAAAACTCATCGTAGAATTACAATTATTTTTAATACAATTTTAAATAAATTTATCGAAAAATGCAATTATTCTCAAAAATTTTATTTAAATTTAATTTTTTTCACAAACAATACAAATTTTCTCTGGATTTTTTAATTAAACAAACAATTTGTAATAAAATTCTTTGTAAGAATTCTATTATTTTCTTAAATATTAAAATTCTTACAAATTCAATTATTTTCATAAATTGAATTTTAAGAAACATTCAATTATTCAACAAATTATTTATTTTTGCATTTAAATAATTGAATTCTCGTAGAATTTTTGAATAAAAATTGATTTAAAAATGAATTTCAGTTAAAATTTTAGATTATATTTGAATATTAAAAGCATTGCAGCTTGAATTTTTAGAAATAATTGAATATTGAAAATGCTTCAAATTAAAATTGTTGAAAATGAGAATTTTTCATATTTTTAATTAAAATTTCTGTGAAACTAATTTTTTTAAAAAGTTTATTTGAAATTTTTGGAAATTATTTCAGTTTTTTATTTTCTAATATATATTTACATAATTGAAGAATTTTCGAATAATCGACATTTCAATTGAATTGTAACAAATTGATTTGAAAATTCTCAAAGAACTTTTTTTTTAAATTATTAAAAATAATTGATTTAAAGAAGAATTTTAGTTAAACATTGTAGAAAATATTAATTGAATTGAAAGTATGAAAATAATTTGGAAGAAGTTGCATAGTAACATTATTCTTATAATATAAATGAATGATTTTATCACTCTGTCATCTTTATTTATTATAAGTTGTTGAATTTCAAAAAAGTTAATTAATTTGAATGTTTTGAAAATCCTAATTTCTATGAAAAAATAATAATGATTAAATATTTATTTAAAAATGAAGTTAATTATGTTTTCAAATAATTTTACTTTTAGAGAAATTTTCCTATTTAAAGTATTAGATCATTTTTTTGAGTATATAATAATTTTGAGAGTGAATCAGAATATTTTTTGGGGTCAGGGAAAAAGTCAAAATTAGTCAGAAAAAGTCTGGAAATCAGGGAAAAGTCAGGGAAAAACAAAATAAAATTTTTGTGGAATTAATAATATTAATTTGTTGAAAATAACTTTTCCAGATTTAGATGAATGTGCGTCGAGTGAATTGAATGACTGTCACTCATTGGCAACGTGTACAAATACATGGGGTAGTTTTACGTGCACTTGCAGTGCAGGATTTAAAGATCCGCACAAAAGTGATCCTGCTGATGCTGGACGAGTTTGTCTCTCTTGCCCTTCTTCACACTGTAATAATAGAGGCACCTGTTCGTATCAAAGCGATCAAATGCAATGCTCGTAAGTTATCAATAAAACTAGCATCAATCTATAATCAAATCTTTATTTCTTTTCGTAACAGTGAAATGAAACTTTAAACATTTTCAGATGTACGGGAAATTATTACGGAGCTCAATGTGAAATTGATGGAGAAGTTTTAGCTGTTGCAATCGGAGTTTCTGTCGCAGCTTTAATTATTATAATTATAACTCTTGTGTGTCTTATAATGTGGAGGTATAATAATTATTTTTCATTATTAAATTGCTTGAAGTAATTATGTTTAGCAAAAATTACGATTAGTAACGAAACGTTATTTTTTACAGTCGACGGTGGTCCCGTGAACAGAAGGCAATGGGTTCTCCAGTTTATGGATATATGCAAGGAGGTATTCCAGGAACTTTACCAAGTAAGTAACTAACTTTTGTGCAATTTCTTTTGAAATTAATTAAATATTCACATTATTTAATTTGTCAAGAAGAGAATTTGATTTAATTTTTGTTTAATTTGTGCCAATTTAGCGCGAGTCGGATCCGTTGGTACTTTGGCTTCTGTTAAACAAGGACCGCCTCCAAATATTCCGTCGTATTACTGGGGCCATTTGGCGACCATGTCGGACCACATGACTCCCGCTAATTTATATGCAGTAAGAAAATTTTTTAAAAATGACAACTAATAGAACGATTTGAAATTAATGATTAAATAATCTTTCTTCTTCTTCTTCTTCTTCAGACAGAACCGATGGGGCCGACACGGCCAAGTTCAGCTGTTTTTGGATACCCAACACTCAGCGTTCAAGGAACTTTGCCGCCCATTCCGTTGCCCCGTCTTCAAGCGCCGCCTCGGTCCAGACGCAGACAGCAACCGGAGCCCGATAGTTCCGACTCTGAACCTCAGGACAAGGACCGAGCTGATCTGATTCCTCAGAGCAGTGGATTTCACATGCCTAGACCAAAGTCTAGATCTTCAGTAGCAGTACGTGTTTCAATGACATTTTATTAATTACATCTCTATTTTATTTTACTTTCATTCGTTTTATTAATAAAAAAAATTCTTTTTTCAGAATCAAAGCGGAATATACTATGATGTAGAATACGATCAAGGCGATGCTCATCATTTGTCAAAGAACAATATTCCTTTGTCCACATACAGTATGGCAAGGCCTTACTACAGAACTTAAAGGATCAAAATGTAAACATTAACACGAGTTCAGTTTTCTGATGCTGTAAGCAAATAGCTATATAGTCATATACAGTTACATATTTGCAATAAGAATTCAAATGAGTCTTCAATTGTTTAAAATGTTACTATACATATATATTTTTTACAAAAAGGTTTAATAGCTTTAATATTTTTGCTTTTTTTTCTTTTTCTTTTTTAAGAAAAAAGTTGTACACTTTTTTGCAAATACTTTAAAGTAGATAGGAAAATTTTTAGGTAAATATGTTTAAAACAGTTAACAATGTTTGTAATTCAATTAAGAAACTAGAACTGAATAAATTTCTAATAAGAAAGCGTTAATTAAAATAAATTAAAACAAAAAAATTAATATAATTAAAAAAAAAATTAAAAAAAAGATTTTAAATCAAAAATTAAATTTTTTTCTATTACTTTTACTTTAAAAAAGTTTTCATTTTAATTCTCTTTTACAATTTAGTTTAATTGTTTCAATGAATGCTTTCTTAACATGATTATCGAGTATTTTAATTAAAGAAAATATCGTTTTAACTACGCAATTAATTAATAGTTAACAATAAACAAATTAATTTTAAACAATTTTTCCAATTTCATTGTTTTAAACAATTGCAGTATAAATTTTATCCTATATTTCAATCAGTTTAACAGAATCTCATTTCTCATTGTGATGTGAAACCGATATTTTTGAAAGTAATGTTTGCTCATAAAATACACATAGCTTTAAAATACTCAATTCAGTGTATAACATTGTGGGTTTTTTAAATAATAACTTATTTGCTGTTTAAAAAAAAACAGCTTCAATATGAATTAAAAATACGAACTTGAATTTTACAAAAAAAACCATAGCTCTGCAATTTTATATTTAATTTGTTCAAAGACATGTCCATATTTATAACTGTTATACTTTTTTATCTTAAAAAATTAGTGTAAATTGTTGCTAATATATAAATTACTTGTTATTCCCAAAAAAAAGTTACTTAATCAGATTAAGATCTAAAAATAAAGCTATATACATAAGTCAAATAATTTAATTATTAAAAATAACAATCAATAAAAAAAACTAAGCTTTTTTTATTCACAAAATTAATGTATAAGATGTTGAAAATTCTGTTATTTTAATTATGTCGTTAATACTCCCTTTAAAAGACAATTTATGTAGGTATTTACTATTCCGTTTGTTTATAAATAATTATCTTCTATAACAATGAAGATTCGCACAAAAAAAAAATTTAAACTGTATATAAAGAAACATTTATTTAGAGTTTGTTCTTCAGATAAATTTGGGTAATTTCAAGCCTGATTAGTAATTTAAAATTAATTTTTATAAAGTCAAGTCTTTAATTATAAACGTCCAGTCACCTGTATTATTACTATTATTAATATTATTATTATTATTATTATTACTATTTTATTATTATTATTATTATTATTTTTATTATTATTATTATTATTCAGGTATTGTATAAGACGACGTAAGAAATCTATTTTTAAAAACTTTTGTAATTAGTTAAATATAATACATCCCAACAATTAAATTGTTATTATTTTTTTTATTTTTTTTTCGAACCAAAGTATAACTATAAGTTTATTTTATTAAGAAATGGACAAATTGACAATTTTATAAGTAATTAATTTTTAACCACGTCAAGTAGTTGAAAAAATTGCCGTCAATTATAATTATGTGTAATAATAATTCATAAATGTATTATAATAATAATTTATAATTCAATTAATTCTAAACTGTAATGAATTTATATTTCGAAAAATTATACTTGATCTTTAAAAATTGATTAAAAATTTGTAAAATTTTCAATTAATTCCATAATTACCTCAAAACTTTTCATTTTTTGATTTTTTAGTTGTTTGATGCTTCAATGAAAAGATATTGCAATTTTTTTAATTAGTAAAATAATGAAGAAATTTGTTGCAATTATTTTCAACTATAACGCAATTAATAACAATAACAAAATATTCGTAGTTGAAAATAACTTGGGTGAAGGGGTTAACATAATAATATATATCAGTATTAAACTTAAATATTACAATAAATATTGAATATTTATAATTGTAAAAATTAAAATGGCAGTAAGAAGTTTATCAACCGCGTGTTTACATATATAATCTTATTAAAATTGCCATAATTGATGCAACATTAGATATTTTATATAAATCGTGAGTATAGGTTGTAGATTTTAATTTTAATTTAATCAAATAAAGTAGATTTTCTTTTTTTAAATGTAGACGTATAATTTATTTTGTCATTGTATTATTAAATTTGCAAATAATCTTTATTACCAATTAATTTCTTTGTTTAAAGAAAAAAATAAATTATAAAATATTCATAAAGTAAAATACAATTTAATTTGAATATTTTTTGTCTTTCGAGACATTAAAATAATTTTACAAGTTTTTTCTTAACAACAATTTTTATCAAGCTTTATTATTTTCAAAATTTGATGTAATTTATATTACGTCACATCATTTGTCTATTTAATAATTTAAACTTATTTCGTTCTCCAATTTATACACTATAACACAGATAAGTTTAAACGTTTCTCATTCATAAAATTTATTATTTTTAATTCAATTATTATTATTAAATAAACAATTAATTAATATATATAAATGTATATATGAAAGATATCGAATTCATTTTTAAAATGCAATAGGCACTTAACAAATTGGAAAATTTTTTCCTAAAATTTGTAACGCTTGATAAAAATTTTTTTATTGAACAAATTTTTATTTCTTTTGTCCAACATTCATTATAAGTATAAGTAAAGTTGCGGCCAAAAGTGTGTAAGTCTTTTTATGTAGAATACTTACGATATATATTTATACATAGAGATTGTAAAGTAAGTATTGTAAAATTTTCATAGTTAAGCACGTTAAAAAATATTAATTCAGAGAATTGAAATTTAAAAGTCGAATAAAAAATTATTTATTTATTAAATAAAATTATTAAAAACTAATAAAACAGTACTATTAGTATAGTGTAAATTCTTCAATTAAAATAATTGCTTGAACTGTAAAAATTATCAACAAAATTATTGGTAATACAGAGCTCGAACCAGTAAAAGTATTTAAAAATTCTTTTCACGAATTTTAATAAAATTTTTAAGAATAATTACATTTTTCGAGGAATTCGATTAAAATTGTATTAAAAATAATTGAAATTCTACAATGAGTTTTATTATTTATGAAAATAATTGAATGATTGCGAAAAAATGTATAAAAAATTTGTAAATAATTGAATTCCTGTGAAATTTTTATTATTTTCTGAAAGGAATTAGAGGTTTGCGTAGAATTTTATTAATTTTTTTTTAAATAATTGAATTTTTTGGGCAATTTTTTTAAAATAGTTAAATATTGAAAATCATTTAATTGAGACAAATTGTTGAAAATAAGCGAAATTAGGACAAGAATTTAAAAAAAAATTTTGAACATAATTGAATTTCTGCGAAGAATTTTTCTTTCTTTTTGAAAATAATTGAATTTCTGCAATCATTTGTAATTTTTCTAAAATTCTCCAAATTATATCGTAGAATTCACCAACTTTTCGCCTTTTTTCAATAAAATTACGGACTTTACGGACCTTTTTTTTAAAAAAAAACAGACTTTTACGGGATTTACGGACCTAGTTCGAGCCCTGGCTAATAAAAAAAAGAATTATTAATTGAATAGTGCTTATCTTAGAAAATTGTAATACTCTAATTCGTTATTATTTATTTATTAAGAATGAAGATGTTCTGAGAAGAGATATTAAACGATTTAAAATCTCTAATGTTAAAAAATTTACATTAATTATTTTTAAGATTAAATATAAGTAGAATCAGTCTTTGACGACATGGCTGTAATAAAGCTGACGGTAAAGATTAAAGCTGCGAGACAGAAGCGTGGTAATTATTTATAAAAATTTTTTATGTATGAATAAGAACACGTATAAAAGGCTGGCCTTTTGGCCATATTTTGGTAAAGTGACTTTATAAGTTTTAAAGATTGATTAAAGCCGTGAACAAGAACAATCACAAAAGGGCGATTTTCAAGCGGAAACCCTTTTACAAGTCAAATAAAATTGAACTCATTTTGTCAGCCTTTAAAGATTTGAAAAATTGTAAAAGTTTAAGTTAAAAAACAAGTTTTGACCTTTCTTTTAGAATAGGATTTGGAAAAATTGCATATTTGACATATTTTTGTCAAATCTAGTGAAATGTTTAGTTTTAAAATTCTAGAATGTATACAATATAGAAACGTAATAAATATTCGTTTTTGATGTCGTTGGAAATCGGACCTTTGCGTGCTTTTAATTTGCAATACTAAAGCATCCAAAGAGCGTATACTTACAAAAATCAACCTTCTTCCACAATTTTTTTTTTTGCTTCACCTTGAACGACGGCAAAATTTGTATTAGGCCGAAAGCTGTGAAGATAATTCCCAAAGTTTATTCAACATTGAGGTGCATTGACATTGGTGTTTTTTCCGCAGAATCGATTTATTAATTGCTTTAGACTCAATATTACACCGTAACCCGTTTCTTCGTCCATGTTAATAAATGAATCTAAATTGTCATCGCAACCTGAAAAATATAATTTACAAAATGAAATACAAATTTTTTATTTTTTATTTACAATTTTTGTAATTTTATACAAATACCAGGAGTTGAAATCGGTGAATGTTCTGGCGGTGGTTTTATCCAAGTTCCATCCTTGCGTTTCATATGATGTCTATTTGATGCAAAATATTGCAAATATGTACTAGCGGGAACGAGTCTGAATCTTCGGTGACATTCAGGAGGAAGAGCTTCATCATTTCTAAATGTTTCGGTAATATATTTCCATAGATGTGTTGGAAACGGAAGAATACTTTCCAAGTCATAGACAACGGCTCTATCGTCTGGAGCGTATATTAAAATCACATGATAATCCTGAAAAAAAGAAGAGAATTAAATAAATATTATTATAGGATAATAATAACAATGATAATAATATTGAAACTTACCCAAACAATCAAATTGTTTTCACCTGTACCAGATCGTTGATACCATAACGGTATTGTGCGATTAGCATTACTAATAAAAGCCACGTAACAATATTGAAGTTCTGGTCCATGCTTCGTAGCCACTTCCTCGCATAATTTCCAAACATTTTCTTCACTAAATATTTCAAAAATTATTATTCATTTCTTCTAATTAATATAAATAGATTTTGAACATTTTTCTATGACATTTTGTTTTAATAATTTGTAAAAATTGTAGTAATAAAATGTTATGTATTTTATGCAACCAACTGCAATGATATCGATCCATAAACATTTTGCGAAACTTTAATATTCTAATAATGAATTATTGACTAAAACACTTACCAATAACAACTTGTGTAAATGCATTCAGATGCCTTAGTAAAAAGTGGAACTAATGGCTTTGTATGACCTTTTGCACGAGTATTAACAGCCATTGTTTACAAATTTATATTCATTTGTTATCGTAAACAATACATTGTTTACTTCCTTCTTGTTAGGGTTTTTATTCTATACACCGGTTTTCTTATAACTAAAACCAGTTGTTAAAAATTAATCTAACTAAAAGTATCACAATTTCAAGATGATTTAATGAAAAATGTGTAGATTATAAAAGTAATTCTTTTTTTTTAATAAAATTTTATGACAATGCAAGTGCTCTAGATGAAAAGTACCAGTACCACCTTTGTGCAGGGTCAAAAATGTACGTCACAGTTGGGATGTCGTACGCTTCTTAGGCTCATTTCACACCGAAGTTGAAAAAGATCTTCCGATCCCTGCTGTTGTATTGTTTTTTTTGGTTATGTCACCATACATGTGCGACCAGACTTGTATTAACAGTATAATTATAATAAAATATCTATAATATAATATGTACAATTATATAAACTGAATAAAATATAATATTGTTTCAGTTGACTAACAATAATAATATAGAAAAGAAATTCTAAGGTAATTAACCGACTATATGAATATTGAAACAATACTTTAATTTTTTAGAATATTAAAACAAACTTTAACCAATTATTTCCAGATCTAGAAGGATTTTTAAATCCATAATAGATTATGGATAATATATTAAAGGACGACCGTTTTGCTCATATTGTGAAAGATCCAAAATATCGGAGAATTCCTAAAAATGAACGTAAAGTCAAAATTGACAAGCGATTCCAGTCTATGTTTACAGATAAAAAATTTGCAGTAAGCTTTAAGGTCGACAAACGAGGAAGACCTTATGTAAAAAATAGTGCTGAAAACCTTCGAAAATATTATGATATATCTGAGAACGAAGACGAATCATCGTCATCTGAATCTGATGTAGAAAATTTGAAAGAAGAAGAAGAACAAGAATCAAAAGTAGAAAGTAAAAAAGAAACAGTTATATCAGAAAAAGTAAAGAAAAATGATAATAAACTGCCAGGCTTAAAGAATAACGAAAAAGGAAAATTGTCAAATAATATTAAACAAAAGCTTAAAAATTTATCGGTAAATTATGCCCGTGGTGAAGGAGAACTTCTATCAAGTAGTTCCGAAGAAGATGAAAGTATTTTAGACAGTGGTAAGTTTCCTAATTTTTCCAAAATCAAATTTTTCAGAAATCTGTATTATTAATATATTCTTATGATTACAGAGGAAGAAGATGAGATTTGTCACGATTGGGGAGAATTTGATAAGGATGCTGAAGAAGCCGTGGAAAGTACCCGTCGTCTAGCTGCTTGTAATATGGATTGGGATAAAATACGTGCCGTTGATCTAATGGTGTCTCTCAATTCTTTTTTGCCTGCTGGAGGAATTATTCTGTCAGTCACGGTAACGATTTCTAAATTATTAACTTATAAAACTTGAAAACTTTATAAAAAATAAAACTATAAAACTTTTTATTGCAGATTTATCCATCAGATTATGGATTACAACGGATGAAAGAAGAAGACGTTAAAGGACCTACCGAATTAGTAAATAATTGTTTCGACGAGTTTGAAGTATGTTATGTTTTATCTTTAACGAGACGTATGTATTTTTAATTTAATTTTCAATTAATAAATAATTTGTTGACAGATAGAGGAAGGTTCGAGTTATCAAATGGAAAAGCTGAGACAGTACCAATTAAACAGATTAAAATATTACTATGCAGTTATTGAATGTGATAGTCCTGGAACTGCGGATAAACTTTGGAGTGAATGTAAAAATGTTGAATACGAATCTAGTGGCTTAAAATTTGACCTTCGATTTATTCCAGATGATATGGAATTCGATCAGGTAGAAATTGACTTATTTATTTGTGTCTTTTATGTTTGCTGAATAAATTTTATGATTTTTTCAATTACAGACACCTAAAGAAGTTTGCGAGAAGTTGCCAGATTTTGCAACTTATCAACCAAGGACTTTTACAACTACAGCATTGCAACAAGAAAAAGTCGATCTAACTTGGGATGAAACCAACGAAGAGAGAAAGGAAATAACTATGAAAATAAATTCGGGAAAACTTAATGAATTGAATGACAATCATTTGAAATATTTATTGGCAAGTGGAAGTAGCGAAGATGAATCTGGTAAGACTGTTTCTTTTAGACATTTGAAATTTTTAAATAAATATCTGAGTTACAGTTAAATATTTATTTTAAATAAATATTTAAGTTGCTTATAATAAAAAATTACTTTTCAGATGAAAATTTGGAGAGTAAAGAACCTGAAGTTGATGTTGAAGTGAAAAATACTAAAGGGAGCACAATTGACAAATATAAACAACTTTTAAAGTCGATTGACGATAAGGAGAAAGAGAAACACAAGAACGACGTGCAACTCGAATGCACGTGGGGCTATAATGCAGAGGAAAGAAGTAAAGAATTCGAAAAAGAGAAATTACAAAAATCCGAAAAGCTAACTCCATTTGAAGAATATCTTGACAAACGAAAGGAAAAACGAAAGGCGAAAAGAAAAGCAAAAATGGAAGAAAACACTAAGGACAATAGTGATTCTGAATCTGAAGATGAAGTACCGTCAGATATTGACATGAATGATCCTTATTTTGCCGAAGAATTGAAAAATTGTTCAAAGAAAAGTAAAAAACCGAAAAAAGATGAATCAAGATTAAATGATAAAGACGATGAGAAAGATGAACTTGAATTACTTTTAATGGACACAAATGAAATTGATAATAGAAAACATTTTGACATGAAAGAAATTGAAGAAACCAACTCAATGTCAAAATCAAAGAGGAAAAGACTCGAACGAAAAAAGAAGAAGAAGAATATTACTGACAATGATGACGATTTTGAGATGAACCTTAATGATGAAAGGTTCCAAGCTTTGTACACGTCACATCATTTCAATATCGATCCTGCCGATAATCACTTCAGGAAAACTAAAGGAACCGAAATTTTAATTACTGAACAATTAAAGAGGAGGAATAAAAATAAGAATTAGAAAAATCTTATTATAATTAAAATTGTTTCTTGTACAATTATTAAATAAATAAATAAAACAAATTGTTTAACAGATAAATTACAACTGTTATTATTATTATTTTTGAGTATACAAATTTTAATATTTATATCTATTTGTAAAATTTTATTATTATAATCACAAAACGTGCAATTAAATATGTATTTAAAATCGAGTAAACTTTGAAACAAAAAAGAATAATTACGTAAAATGACTAATCAATTCACGTTTATTATAATTTCAAATTTCAATACAATATTTTACTTTGAAATATTCAGCACAAAGCTATGTCATAAGACAAATTTTACAAATCTCTTTTTCTATAGTACACTTTTTTTATAATCAATGCTCGAAAATTAATATTTGTTTAAAGAATCAAAAATAAATCAAAAATAAATAATTTCATTAATAATATCTAATTTTGTAATTAAATGTTTTTCAAAAAGCAGTTTAAAACTAACTGCGTAAAAGAAACTTTTATTTAATAAATATTATGACTGGATATTATATTTGATAATTTGCAAAAATTATGAAAAACACAAATTCAATTATAATGTGTCTTATGACTTTTCGAAATATATTTAATCATAGTGGACTGGATGAAATTCGAGTCCGTTCGCACGAATGAGAAATGCAATAAATAATAATTTTCTTTTGTTCTTTTTATGACTTAGTTTTGTCTTCTCCAGGTGAATTTGTCTCTTCTAGTCGTTTGCGGCAAATGCGTTGATTTCGCCATTGAGGGATGAGAAAATGAACACGAAGGATTTGTACAGTAAGGATGATATTTACACTTTTCCGGAGGATGTGAAAATATACATCCTGCTTTTGTACATGACAATCCAAATTTACATCTTGGATGAAGATACTGGCAATTGGCGCCGAATTTGCATGTAGGAAATAGGCTGAAAAAGAAAATAATTTTGTTTCATATTCTTTATTAAACATAATTATTAAATATATCAAAGTTTCATGTACAATAATTTTTAAAACAACTTTACTAGATGGTAATTAATTCACTGCTTTAATTAAAGTGTGAAAATTGTTTAAATTAAAAAAATGTAGAAAATGTTTGAGTTTCTGGAAAAAAGGAGACCAATAGAAATCCGCCAAATATTCACAATAATAAAAATACTTGCAATAATGTGGAGGGGGGCAAAAGGTAAATGGCAAGTAGCCCTTATTGGTACCTTGGACCTCTACTCCGCCCCTACCTAGGTACTCCTACCCCTACCTCTTAAGGAGGTAACGTAGGGGTGAGCAAAGCAAGAAACTGCAAAACGAATCATTTTCATTTACTGTTTGATATTCGTGGTGTGAAAGAGTTGCTCTTTTATAAGAACAAAAATGTCTGTATCATCATCTTCATCATCATCAGTCTTTACAGACGAACCGTACGTCGCCATGGAAGTTGAGGACGACTGGAAACCGCACAAAGATTACGATCATTCGAAATACCTGACGGACAAAGATCATCAGGATCTGCTGAATTCTCCAGATGAAGTGGAAGCCTACGTTCCAAGGTACATGCCAGACAATTGGAGAGAGGTGAATGGACCTAGTGATAATCATCCAGTGGACGACGAGTGGCTCGTGGATTTGGAGATACGAGTTTATGAGTTACTCCGAAAAGCTTATTACCAACGGGAAAAAAAACAAAGAACAAGTAAGCGACTTATGCAGGATTCAAGTGATCTGGAGCAAAAAACAAAGAAGATGCGTCTGGCTTGAGAGAACAGTGTTTTTGCGATTGTTTTGTTTTTTTTTATTTTTAATCAAATACCCTTTTGACAAGGTTGCTCCGCAAGGGGCAACCGCCCCAGTTCTATGAATTTGGTAGGCTTTATTTTCAAAATAGTCTATCACTTTTATAGTTCTGGAGCAATAACTTTCTTCGATTTTCAATTTCTGGTAATGAAAAATTTATGTTCTATTACAGGGTTGCCATTCTTTCGCTAATTTCAAATTCTCTGACTTTTCCAGGTTAAAAAACGGAATTTTTCCATGTTTTGAAAACTATATTTTACAAAATAAAATAATTAGTCATTATTTTTCCATGGGAATTAAAATTCTTCAAAAGATTCAAATTCAAACCTTTTTGAAATTAAACAACTTATAAAAAATTGTTATGAAACATGAAGAAATCGATCACTCCGAGTCTTCAACTCGGAGCAATCGTTATCTTCATGTTTTATAAATAATTAAAAATTACCGAGTGATAAAATCATTATTCTATATTATAAGAATATTGTTACTGTAACTTATTCGAAATTACTTTCTTCACTTCAATTCAATTATTGTTTTCCAGAATTTTTAACTAAAATTCTTCTTTAAATTAATTATTCATTCATTTTTAATAATTTATGAAAAATTTCTTTGAAAATTTTCAAATCCTTTTGTTTACAATTCAATTTTACGAAATTTCATCGATTATTCGGAAATTCTTCAATCAAATATTATATTAGAAAATAAAAACTTCAAATAACTTTAAAAAAATTCAATTAAACTTTGTAAAAAAATTAAATCTACACAATTTGTAGTTAAAAGTATGAAATATTCAAACATTTAAAGATTATAATTTGAAACCTTTTCAAAATTCAATTATTTCTAAAAATTAAGATATAATACTTTCTCTCTAAATTTGAATTAGTAAAAATGTTTACTAATTGGAATTAGTCACTGACTTTTTGCTTTTGAATTAGTAAATTTTACTATTAAATTAGTAGAAACGACTATTTATTAGTAAAATCTGCTATTTTCAAATTTCAAAAGCAAAAAATCAGCCACTAATTCAAATTAAAAAACATTTTTACTAATTCAAATTTAGAGAGTTTAATATTCAATTATTATCTAAAATTTTAACTAAAATTCATATTTAAATCAATTTTTATTAGAAATTTCTACGAGAATTCAATTATTTAAATACAAAAATAAATAATTTAATGAAGAATTGAATGTTTTTAAAATTAAACTCTCATAAAGAATTTTATCAACAAATTTTTAAATAGGTAATTAAAATTCTTTTGACGAATAATTTTAATATTCGAGAAATTAGATTGAAATTGTATTGAAAATAATTGAATCTGTAAAAAATTTGATGAAATTGAGAAAAGTTTTTGAAAATAATTGGAATTTTTTCAAGAATTTTATTGAAATTAAAATTTATTTTTGAAAATAATTGAATTTTGGAGAAAAATTTTATTTTCTTAAAGATAATTGATATTTTGAAGAGAATTTTTTTAAACTTTGGACCATATGTAATTGAATTTCTGCGAAAAATTTTATTACTTTAGAAAATAATTGAATTCTTCAGACGAATTTTATTAAAATTTCTTTTTAAACAATTGAATTCTTTTGTGAAATTTTATTGAAATAGTAGATATTGAAAATAATTGAATTTTGATAAATTATTGAAATTAATTGAATTTCTACGTAGAATTTTATTAAAATTATTTTTTAAAAAATTGTATTGTTAAAAAGAATTTCATTAAAATTTTTGAAAATAATTTAATTCTTTCAAAAAATTGAATTTCTTTGATGAATTTTAATAAAATTTTTATGAATAATTACATTTTTCGAGAAATTCCATTAAAATTGTATTAAAAATAATTGAAATTCTGCGATGAGTTTTATTATTTCTGAAAATAATTGAATCTCTTTAAAAAATTTGATTATTTATTGAAAATAATTGAATTATTGCGAAGAAATTTGTAAGGAATTTGTAAACAATAGAATTCCTGTGAAATTCTTATTATTTATGAAAATAATTGAATGTTTGCGTAGAATTTTATTCAAAAATTTTTTTTAATAATGGAATTCTTTTAGAAAAATTGAATTATTGCGAAGAAAACGTTGAAAACGCAACTCTTTTAAAATTGAATTAATTTTGAAATATTTCGGAAAAATTAGATTTCAAGAATAAGCAAAAAAGTGATAAAATTGAAAAAAGAGGACTATCTATGATGCCTGGAAATTAATAAGAGAAAGAAATTTCACCTGCAAGGAACGTCCGGATGAATGTACGCACACTTTTTTCCTAATGTGCAATTTGGCCAATATCGACATTTTTCATCCATCAGTGAATTAAGAGACACTGAGACAGTGTTTATTTTCGATTTCTTCTCCGTGCCTAAAGTAAAAAATAAATTTTTTAAAAAATGCAATCATTTTTATAAATTTGCGTAATTGTGTTTTAAATAAACTTTTATAAATTATTAAACTTAAAGAAAGAATTTTAAAAATTAAAGTATTTAAACATACTGATTATTACTGATGAAATGGTCGATTTTTTAGTACTTATTTCCGGCGTCGGTGATCTAGATTTATTATAAACTATGGGACTTAATTTCCTGGACTTTTTCGGCGGCTCTTCAGTATCGTTGATATTTTCCGTATTTTGGTTTTCATCGTTATTACTCAGCTTCGAATTACTCGATTCATCATCTTCTTTATCATCGTCCTCAGTATTCGACACGTGAAATGCAATTATATCTGATTCATTTTCTTGATACGCACTTGGGTTATAAACAGACTCTTCCTGCTCTTCACAATCGTTTAACTGTCAATTTAATGATTTATTATTAACAAAAATTATTAAAACAAACATTAAATTAAATAGGTTTTCAAAATTAATTTCATTATTACCTAGTTATTAAATATTAATTATTATTAATTATTAATTTAAATTAAATAGTTTAAAACCTAATTACCTCTGTATCTAAATTCTCTTCATTTTCATCAGACGATTTTTCTTGGGGCAAATTATTGTTATATCCATTCAGTGTGACCAAAAACTTTTGATCGTTATTACTTTGTTGAAATAATGACCTCACAACTCCTATGTGCTCATCAGTGACTTGATGTGGTTCATCTAAAAAAATTAAATTGTATTATCATTAAGAATATTATTAGAGTTCTCAACATTTTTCAACTAAAATCTTCTTGGCTACCTGTGATTACAATTTTCCAAACCAAAGACGATCATTGACGATATTGTTTTCTAATTCTCTTATGATTTTTATTCTAAACTTCCACTATTGGAAAATAATCTTTTTTTAAATCTTAAATAATTACAAAAGCCAGCAAGTGTTTGGTTGTATAAAATTTTGGTAATTCCAAACAAATTAATTTCAAATTAAATTATTTTCAAGTCTTTTGTTCGAGCGGTATCGAAACCGCTCCACTGGGGGGTATAAGTGGTTGGAGAAAACAACATACATTCAATAAACCGACTGCGACTCTGAAATTGTATCTACCTGTAAGCCTTTATTTTATTGTCACTATTCATTAATGGGAATTCCTTTCGGTAAATTTTTCTTTACTGTCTACACATTTGTGTAAAAACCTAAATATTGAGGGCTTTATAAACAGTGACCTCAGGGGGTAACAGGTGTGAATAACAAGTTAAGTATTATTTTCAAAAAAGGCAAAAATTCCTTTAATATTTTCTTATTAAAAACAACTTTTCAGAAAGTTTTAGAAAGTTAATTCAAAATTAATTTATTAATCATTAATTTATTAATTCCCAACAAAAAATGTATTAAAACTAACAAATAATAAGAAATTCGTAAAAAAATAATTAATTTTCAACAACCACTTTTTGAAATGTTTAATTTTTATTAAATAGCATTATTAAAACATAAAAGGTTTTTTGTTGAGAAAATACATACTTACAAGGTTTCTCATTATTACCAGTAACAGTTGTCAATTCAATTTGAATATTTTCCATGACAAATCTCTTCTGCGAATCCAAGTGCACTGACAAATTTTGACCTCCAGTCCATGATCCGGATGGTTTCAATCTTTTAACAGGGGGCTTTACTTCCTAATAAAATTCATTATAACTTTTTAACAAAAAATTTTATTCAACCAACAAGAAGAGATGATTAATATACGATATCTAACCTACCAAAATAATCATTTAAAGAAAAGCCAAAAGTATTTTTCAGTCCTTGTCCTAAATAAAAGAAAAAAAAATAACTTAAACTTATAATACTAACTTCTTTACTTAAAATGTATTATTTGTCTTTTTATGCTAAATAAATTTTCTTTTTTTTTTTTGTCTTTATTACAGGCATCACAGTATACGATTTCAATTATTTTTAATACAATTTTAAATAAATTCCTCGAAAAATGTAATTATTTTCAAAAAATTTTTGCAAGAATTCAATTATATTTCACAAATAATGAAATTCTTTGCTGAAATTTGAATATTTTCATAATACGACGAATTTAAATAAAATTTTTGAAAATAATTGAAATTTCGCAATAAATTTTATTATTTATAAAAATAATTTTATTATTTATGAAAATAATTGATTTTTTAAAGAATTTTAATATTTAAGAAAATAATTGAATTCTTACAAAGAATTTAAATACAAATTTTTCAATAATTAAATTCCAGAGAAAATTTGAATTGTTTGTGAAAATAATTGAATTTAAATAAAATTTTTGAGAATAATTGCATTTTACGATAAATTTCTTTAAAATCGTATTAAAAATAATAAAAAATTTTTTAAATAATTGAACTCCTGTAAAAATTTTTATTTTTTCTGAAAATAATACATAATTGAATTCTTGCGAATGAATTTTATAAAAAAAATTTTTATTTTGATAATTCAATTCTTTTAGGATTTTTTATTAAAATAATTGAAAATAATTGAATTTCGATAAATTTTTTGAAAACAGAATTCTTTCGACCAATTTTAATAAATTTCTTTAAGAATAATTACATTTTTCAATAAAATAAAATTTTATTTATGAAAGAATTTTATTAAAATTTTGTTAAATAATTGATTTTTTTTTGCATAATTTTATTAAAATAGTAGATATTGAAAATCATTGAATGAAGAAAATTTTTTGAAAATAATCGAATTTTGGATAGGAATTTTATCATTTATAAAGATAATTGCAATTTTGACGAGAATTTAAAAAAAATTATTTTAACATAATTGAATTTCTGCGAAAAATTTTTTAATTCTTGAAAATAATTGAAAAAAAGGTGAAAAAGGTGGTAAAATTGAAATAAGGGAACAAAACGAGAAAGGGGGACCAACTGTGATGCCCTGTTATTATAACATTTTAAAATTTTTATTTCTTAATGACAAAAACAGAATAACAATAAAATTACTTACCGTTTTGAAATGAAAAGAAAATAAGTTTTTTCTTTTCGGTAAAAATGTAACTCTCTTTATTATTTAAATATACAAAAACAATTTTCTCATTAAGTGGTAAGAAAGTAATTTTTTGTTATTTTATCATGTAAATAAAATTACTTTTTTCGTTATTGAAAATTTCCTGTCTGGTTACAGAAAAATAAGAAAAAAACTTTTTATCGCCTTTTTAGAAACGAAGGAAATTCTCTTTTCAATTTGAGAAAAAAACATGTTCTGTTTGTTTGTTTTTTCTGTTTGTTTATTATACACGAAAAAAATAAGTCGATCAAAGGGTTTACAAAGAAATGAAAAGAGAAATTTAAACAAGATTAACTTTTTTTTATTATAAGCGAATGAAATTTGCAATGAAATAAACAATATTTTTTACTAAAAAAATGTAAAATTCACTATAATTATTCTTAAACCTCGCCTTTCTCAAATATTAATTATTATATTGAAATTGCTAAATTGATTGTGAAAAAAACTAACTAATGACGTTTATGAAACGATCTAGAATTACTTACCACTAGAGATGGTTCTGGATTTTTTTGCGACACCACAGATTGATTGGCTTCAGCAACAGCTCTTAATAATAAAGATTGAGTTGCTCTTTTCTGTGTTGATGGCAAGGGTTTTAATGGTCTCGGTGTCACGATAACTTTACTCGGCACTTTGCATTCCTTGACTTCTTCCTCATCTTCATCGCTGACGTCCTCGTTGGATTTTAATCTCTTTCGACTAGACTTTTCTGTCGATGGCTTTTGAACCGCGACAATGTGAGATTTCACTGGTGCAGCATTAACAGCAGCTTTATCCTTATCGTCGTCGTCGTCGTCATCGTCAACATCTTCATTATTTGCATCATCTTTAAATGATAAATTTGAATAATTTCCAGATCTTTTAAAGGGAAATTCTTTTTGAAAGGAATTTCTATCTTTATGGTTTGAATTTCTAGTGTCTTTAAAATTCGAAAGTCTTGTTTCTTGAGGGTTTGAATTTCTAGAGTCGTTCAGTCGATAAGTTTTCTTTATTGGACCTAATCTATATTTAACATTTTTTCCACGAAAACTACTCCTTTCGTGTCTGTCTATTCTTCTCTCGTCGATGGTCTCTTGCTTTTTTGTCGAAGATTGCGATGACACTCGACTACCGCTGGAACTTCCGAGACGATTTTTTATAGTTAATCCAGATTTATCGGGTATTATTTCTCGAATTGTTTCTTGACTTGATTTATTATCACGAAAACTGCCAAGACGATTTTTGATATCAATTGTCTTGTCTCGTATTTTCATGTCGAAATTACGACTTTTTCTTGAATCGGCATTGAATTCAATATTTTTGGAGCGTGAATAATTATTCCGTCGATCGGTATATTCGTGAGGATGGTCATCAGTTGATATTGTCGTTATTCTTTCGTGTTTAGGTTTTTTAAACGAAATTTCTCTATCTGAGTGTGAATCCGATTTCTTGCTTAACGAAATAATACCCAAACGATTTTTCACTGAAACCACAGATGTTATTTTGGGTTTTGCAATACTGGATTTTAATTTTTTCGAATTATTTAAATCATCCTCTTCATTTGAACTTTGAGATCGTTTTCCACTGTTTTCGGTACTTGTATTCACCTCGGAATGATTGACTGTTTCATTTATTGGTTTTGAAGTTCCTGGTTCAGGTTGCGATTTACTTGATTTTAAAACCTCTTTTGATTTTTGCTGGTCGATTACTGTGATTTTTTTCACAGTTGAATTCTCTGCCTCAGTAGATGAAATTGTAGTTTTTTCTTTCAATTCCGCTTCCTTAGTGTCATTCTTGGAATTTTGTTGCTCATTACTTTCACTTGGAAATTCTGACTTTGTCGGTTCATTTTCAATATCTTTATCTTCTTTCAAAGGTTTATCGATTAATTTGTTTGGCAAATCGTTAGTATTGTGATCTTCTAAAAACGAGGTAGTAGTTTTATTCTTTTTACGTTGTTCTTCTTGTTTTATAATAACGGCTGGCACAAATTCCCTCGACACTTTCTTTTTTGCGATTGTAACTTTTTGTAGTTTCTTTAGTACTTGATCATGCAGCCAATCAACAAACGGTGCAGTATTGTTTTCTAAAAACAAATGTAAATCCTCATGCATCTGTTGACGTGTTTTTTTGTTCACAACCATAACCAGTATGTAATCTGGTAATTCTTCATCGTAGCGAACACCAAGTTCCAGTAGCTTGGCACGAATGGCACTCTGAAAAGGGAAAGAAAAAAGTTACGTGAAAAAAGAAATCAATTGTCGTTATAAACATAAAAAAGATTCAATTGATCTAGAGTGAAGGAAAAAAAAGTTTGGTCAAAAATCAAGCTCTGACATAGTGGCTCTATCGATTTGCTTTCTTTTAGTATCGTGATAAAAAATTATTTCGTTTTTCAAACTTTTAATATAATTTCTGATTCATAAAATTATTTCTTCTTCTTCTTATTCATTTTTGTATATATTGACGTAAGTAACTAATACATAAAATTCATATAGTTATAAAAAATAAATTGTTTGCTTTGAAGATTAAATTTTATTCGTCTTTGTTGTATCGATTTATTAAATTTTTCAAAATAATAAGAGTATATTTTTGATACAATTGAAATTCTTTTTTTATACAATAGAAAATCTTAAATAAACTTTATTACCCTAAGTTGATTTGTAACCTCTATACCACGAATATCCATATTTAAAATGTGTATGTACTGCACATGGTTTTAAAGTGATTGAATAATATATTTTTTATGTTAGATTAACTTTTTTATCTACAAACTTAATATTCGTAAAATCGAATAAAATTTTACTTTACTTTAATAAAAAAAATCTGACTACATTAACTTGTAATGTAACCATTAAAGATTTTGTTATAAATAGAGAGGAAACTTTTCTTTCTGGATAAATAATTTAAAGACGCGTTCACACTGTATTTAGTGTTTCAACTTTTGTCATCGCGTAAAAATTAATTTGATTTTAATATGTTGTTACTAAATATGTTACAAAATAAAATCCATTTACTATTACCTATTATTAACAGAAATTGTTATATAAATAGTAATTTGAAAGTATAGTAGACATTAAATTACTAAAGTAATTTAGCAATTCTGGCTTCATAAGGCCATGTTCACAATTATGTTGAACCTATCCTTTTCCATCTTATTTGGAATTGGGATGACTATTATGGACTCACCTTAAACGCTGCTTTTACTTTCCATGCTTTCCATTCTCTTTCCACATTTTGTTCAAAATCAAAACAACATACACGTTTTTTAGGCAGAAAAAAATTCTAACCTAAATTTTCAAAAAATGTCAAATCAAAAAGACTTTTTCTTATCAGTAACAGAAAGAATTTTTAGTAATTGGACAGCATTAAAAGTAAGTAAATTTAAAAACTCAATACATTAGAAATTTGTGTTAAATTATTAATGTATCGTTCATGAATGATCATGAACGTGAATTGAGGTTATGTCTAAGCACCGAAAAATTTATTATTTAGTACGTAATAAACAAGTTAATATGAATTCACATTTATTTATGTAAATCAAGTAATTTGTCTTTGTAATACTTTATTTGTTCTGATAATCATTCCTTAATATTATTACAGATGGCCGTAGAACATGGAATGGGTTCGAAAGAACATGCTCAAGGATTTGGTCCATATATTACAGAGGTTTTCTTTATGAATGGTAAGTCTCTTTGAAATGAATATATTATATGTATAAATTAAGTAACAAAAGTAATTTTTTAAACACTACTACTGTCGCTATTATTTTTTCAACTACTTGTAGTTTCGTCAGTTTCATATATAATAAATATATTAATATTAGAAGACTAACATTACTATTCTCTTTAATTGAATTTTACCTTAGTATATTTATTTTTTGCAGAAAATTTAACTCCTTCCGAGGTTGCATATGAATTGGAAGATTATATGGACACTACATTCAATACAGAACTTGAAGATGACAGTGCCGTTCATGTTGCCGAAGAATTAGTACGATTTTATCGTTTGTGCGTTTCTGAAAGTGAAAATAAATTAGCAGAACTTGAAAAATTACCTCCCCTTCAATCTTGGTTGAGAACTACTGAAATTTCGACAAATTCAGGACAACAATCCCGACAAAATGATTCCTCGTCCGAGAGTGACGAAACTTTAAACGATCAAATGGAAATCGAAGACGAATGGACCACTGTAAAGACACGTCGAAAAAGATAATTTTGCGGTAAGTTCTCCTTTCACTTCCAATATTTTAAAAAAGTGTAACTTATGTTCATTAGTTTTACAATTTAATCTTTGCATATCTGCATTAAAAAATTGATTTAAAATTTAAATTTAAAAAGTTATTTTATTTAATTTAAATTAAAAAAATTAATTCAATTTTTCGTTATTTTTGAAAATTATTAATTAATTGATTTTCGTAATATTAATTTTTCATGTTTCTGAAAATGAGATAAAAAAAGGAAAACAATTTCATTACATATGTACATTGACAATGGAGAATTGAAATTTTTTAAAAGTGAGAGTTCCTTGAGACTGAGAAAGTAGAATGTGTGCGAGTGATAAATTGATGAAAATTAGTAGATAGATTTTGATAATAAGATGCCGACAATGGAATGTTGGCTTTTGAGGAAGTCTTTACTTAGTCCCATGCGTGGGATTTACAGGTGCGGGTCAGACAAGGTAGGGAGGTTACAAAGTGAATGCTTCTTTCTCATCAAGAAAACCATCAGTGCTTTTACTTCCTCTCAATTCGATGGACGTGTTTCGCGTGTTCTCGTCACGCAACTCGTGGTCCATTATATCATACGCGTTAAACGATTTGAGTTAAAAAAAATATACTTTTTTTTAAATAAATTTAAAAATGACACAAAAGTGAGTTTTAATTATTTTTCTTTTAATATTTTAATTAATTCAATATTTTTTTCTTTTAATATTTAGTTTTATATTTATTTTAATTTACATTGAAATTAAAATTTTTTAAGCAAACAATTAAAAATTAATTTTTATAATTGAGAAAATATTTTTTCTCAATTTATTAAATAATTGAGAATAAATCCTAATTTGCAGAAATATGAAGATCTCGAAGAAGTTTATTTTCTTCCTGTGCGTTCATCTAACCAGTGCTCAGCTAAATTTCGAAGGCAATCCTCTGACTGAGAACACGGATTATTTGGCTGAAGAGTCTCAAATTTCGGCGCGATCAGCTCGGGGGAATAATTTCGAAAAAAGTATCAACAATGAAGTGAATCAATTAACACTGAAGGAACAATCGGTGACTCCGCAAAAGCTCTATCCAGTTTACACCGAGGCTCAAAATATTTCTCAGCAAAAACCAATGGAAACTTCAGTCCAAAACAGAGAGGAATCGATTCAAGTTCTTAAACTCGTTCCAATGAGTCAAAAATCCCGCCAACTTCGTGATAATTTTCTGAATGTTAATTCCGTCCAGCAGGAGCAAACTCCGGGACAAAATCCTGCAGACTTGGCACTTGAGATATTTATGAACTCAAAAACACCGCAGGAATCGGAAATCGCCTTGAATTATTATCTCCAAGGTGGTCAGGGATTGTCGGAGCAATTGGAAAACGAAAAACGAGAGAAGGAGCGACAACAGGAGCAGGAATATTTAAGACAGCAGCAAATTCAACAGGAGCAAATTATTCAGAGGCAGAAGCAGCAACAATTACAACAGGAGCAGTTGCTAATTCAGGAGCAACTACAAAGGACTCAAGTTCAGCAAAACGTTCAGGATCAAATGTTCGGTCTCAACGTCCAACCGCAGCAGTTAAATCAAATTCAACCCAACTATCAGAATCAGTACCAAATTGGCTACCATCGAATTCCGCTAATTCAGTCGCGAAACGACTATCCGATTTATCGTCGCCCAATGAAGAGAATGAATTATCGCCCGGCTTTTCAGTCCAGAGTCGGTCCGGGAATGTACAAGGGACCGCCTCCTCCTCTGCCTCCTATGCAAGCACCCGTCTATCCGGGGAAAATGATAAAGCCACCAGTGGAAGTGTTGTACTCGAGGCCACCTACTTATGCTCGAGGCGCACCGATGATTAACAGTCCAGCAGTTTATTACGAGGATGCCAGTCCATGGTTCCCTGAAGTCGAACACAAACCACCACCGTCCAAAGATATTTATTATTCCCAATTGTACGCGCAATCGTACGATCCACATTATTACAATTACATCGCAAAGACTGGCAAAATCAAACCCCATTTATACGGAAAATTGAATGGCGAAGCGAAGCAGGATGATGGTATTTTAGCAGAACTTTTTCGTGGTTTCACAAAACATGGAATGAAGAATATCATGAATCCAACATTTTTACTCGGCATGACAATACCGGCCTTGACCTTCATGCTCACTGCTCTTGTTCAGAAGAGGTCTCTCGCACGCTCCGATTCTAGGTCACTAAACGAGGATGAAATTCGTGAATATCTTGAGAGACTCGAAAGAGCTTTAGAGTGCTATCGGAACTTGAAAGTGCCGACTGATGATCGATGCTGGCGGTGAAAGTGCGGTGAATGAATGCCTTAAATAGTGTCACGAAGAAAATAATTATTTATGTGATTCTCTCTTGTCTTGAGTGATGAAATTCCTTTTCTTTTCTTTTTTTGACTTGTGCTTTTTTAACTCTAAACTAAACGAAAAATTCAATTTGTTTTGACAAATTTTCGTTTTTTTCTTTACAGAATACTCGCGCAAGATCAGGGAAAATTTAAGGAATTAAAACCTGTTGTCCAATTATAGAAACAAAAAAAAAACTGTAAATTATCCAAATTTTAAAGACAATTTTTGAAACAATTGGAAAAATTGAATGTCAGGTAAAATTCGAAATTGTAATTGTTACTGTAATTTTAACAAGTCGATAGGGTGCGATTGTTTAAATTAATTAATTAATTTAATTAACTAATTTTTTTTAATAAAAATAATTTCTTACATTATACGTATAAACATATTTTTTATTTTAAATATCCTTCGACGGAAGTCCTGTTAAATTTTTTTCTACGCCTAGGAAAAAATTTTTGTTAATTTACAAAAATTACTTTTGCAGAGCTCGAACCAGAGAAAGTATTTAAAAATACGGACTCTGCGGACCAAAAATTAAAAATTGTAGACCATTTACGGACAAATTACTGACAAAAATATAACCTCGAGTCAAATAAGGGAACATTTTACTTAAAACTAAAAATTAAATTTTTTATAATACTTAAAGATGACATTAAAATCATTTACAATTCAATTATTATTTACAAGAATTTTTAACTAAAATTCTTCTTTAAATCGATTATCAATATTAATTTTTAATAATTTCCGAAAAAGTTCTTTGAAAATTTGAAAATCCATTTGTTTACAATATTCAATTTTACCAAAATTTCAATTAGTCGTAAATTCTTCAATTAAATAGGTATTAGAAAATAAAAACTTAAAATAATATTAAAAAAATTCAATTAAACTTTTTCAAAAAAATTAATTTCAAAATTTAATTATTTTTAAAAATTTAGGCTATATTGCTTTTATTATTCAATTATTATCTAAAATTTTAACTGAAATTCATTTTTAAACAATTTTTATTAGAAAATTCTACTAGAATTCAATTATTTAAATACAAATAAAATGCAAATAAATAATTTATTAAATAATTGAATGTTTCATAAAATTCAATTCCCATAAAGAATCGTTATCAACAAATTTTCAAATAATTGAATTCTCTTTACGAATATCAATAATATTTTTAAGAATAATTACATTTTTCGAGGAATTCGATTAAAATTGTATTAAAAATAATTGAAATTCTACAATAAGTTATATTATTTATAAAAATAATTGAATTCTTAAAAATAATTGATTTTTAAAGAATTTCAATATTTAAGAAAATAATTGAATTCTTACAAAGAATTTTATTACAAATTTTTCAATAATTAAATTCAAGAGAAAATTTTTATTGTTTGTGAAAATATTTAAATTTAAATAAAATCTTTGAGAATACTTGGATTTTTTGATAAATTTATTTAAAATCGTTTTAAAAATAATTGAATTTTCTCTGAAAATAATAATTAAATTCTTGAGAATAAATTTTATAAAAAATATTTTTTTGATAATTGAATTCTTTTAGGATTTTTTATTAAAATAATTGAAAATAATTGAATTTCGATAAATTTTTTGAAAACTAACAACTGAATTCTTTCCAGGAATTTTAATAAAATTCTTTAAGAATAATTACATTTTTCAAGGAAAAAAAAATTAATTTGTTTTATAATTGATTAAAACAGTAGATATAGAAAATCATTGAATTAAGGAAATTTTTTGAAAAGAATTGAAATTTTGAAAAGAATTTTATTAAAATTGCTGAAAATAATTTAATTTTGGGGAGGAATTTTATCATTTATAAAAATAATTGAAATTTTGAGGAGAATTTAAAAAAATTTTTGAACATAATTGAATTTCTGTAAAGAATTTTATTACTTTTAAAAATAATTGAATTTTGGAGAAAAAGTTTATTATTTATAAGGATAATTGAAATAATTAAATTCTTGAGACGAATTTTTTAATAATATTTCTTTTTAAATACCTAATTGAATTTTTTTGTGAAATTTTATTGAAGATAATTGAATTTTGAAGAATTTTATTAAAATTATTTGGAAAAAAATTGAATTGTTAAAAAGAATTTCATTAAAATTTTTGAAAATAATTTAATTCTGTTGGGTTTTTGATTAAAAAAAATTTTTGCTTTGAAATGTTCATTAATTAAAAATTTCATTTGAATCCAAATAATTTGAACTTTAAATCGTGGAAATTTTATCATTGATAGAGTTTATATTTTGCTCTAAATATATAAATCAGAGAATGATAAACGTTCTTTTGATTCTTCTCGAAATATTTTAGTTTAAAATGAGATTTTCCCGCAATTTCTACACTAAAAATAATAATTTTCTCTGTGGTGAATCTACAATTCCATTTACAGTATATTATTTCGCGTTTTATTATTTATTATAAACTCTGAAAAAAAAGATTTTACTGTTTTCTATAAACTTTTTGAGTCATTATATTATAAGGGGTTATTCGTTTTAATCAACTTTCTAATAAAAAGTAGGTGATAAAGTTTTTATTCCTTGTGAAAAACAATTTAATGCGACAAAAACAATTTCTATGAGTAATTACATGTTATTTTAAAAAGAAGTTCTTTAAAAAGCTTTTCTTTAAATATTCCATCCAGATATATGAGATTGAAATCTGAACTTTCTTTCATTTTATCGTTTGGACGTGAACTTTTTTTTAATTAACTTTCTTCTGTTCAAAATTTTTTTAAAAATTCAACTAGAGCAAAAAAAAGTTTTCTTTATCCAGAATAATAATTTATAGAATCAAAAAATATAGAAAAAAATTCTCTAATTCAAAATAAAATAACGAAATTAATCTTTTCTTTTTTTAAATATGAATAATGCAGGAATTTTTTTAACGAGAAAGAGAAAAGGTGAAAATACGTTTGGAATAATGTAGAAGAAGTTTATCCTCTAATTTATTATTTTAATCATTTTATTTTCAAATTTAACTTGATTTTATTTTTTTTTTCTCTCGTATTTGATTTTTGAAGAGGGAAAAATTGTCAAGAGAGAAAAATTTAAATTGTCGAAATAAATTTGCAATTCCTCGAAGAGAGACATATTTTAACCGATGATTAATAATTAGAAATAATTTTTAGTTGAAGGAGAATTGAGGTTTCTGAAACGGAGGTAACTTGCTCGTAAGCAATTTAAATGAGAGCAGATTTGCACGATCATGCTTTTTGCATTAAGAACTAGGAAAAGCAAGTAAAACAATTTTTACAAACTGTCAACACACCGTTAATATTTTCTCGGAATTCATCACTAATGTCCTTTAGACTAAGTTGAAAAAAATATGTCTTATTTTGCAAGAAAAATAATTTTTCTTCTCAATCGAAATCTTTTTTGCTTCTATACAGTCATTAATTTTGTTTTTTCCCCCTCAAGACAATTGATTCGGTGATCAATTGTTAGATATAGGTCTCTGTGCAAATTTTTTAAATCCACTTCTCAAGAATAACAACAATTGTTCAGAGAAGGCGACAGTGAAATCGAGCTGAAATGAGAGTATCAGTTTTTGAAGTCAAAAAGAACCGGTCAATCACCTTTGTCCTTCTTCGTCCTTTCTCCATTGCGAACATCATTTGAATTCCAAATTAAATCTAGGAATTCGGAAATTTTTTCTTCTTTTTTCTCCAATCGATTGATTTAATGAAAAAAAAAGAAAAAACGCGAAAATTCGAAATGTATTTAAATTTTTATACATCTCTTTTTAAATTTAAATCAAAAAACCATTAAGTTGATGTAGAATTCGTTTTTTTGGGTTCTAAATAAAAAAAACTTGTTAATTTGAATAAACTTCTGCTAAATGGTCACACACTCGATTATTGAGGTCTACTATATAATTTACTAACAATCTCTTCTAAAGAATTAAAATATTTATTTCATACATGCTCCAACTAACTGGAAAAATAGTGAATTAATCATTACTTTTTTCGTTCTGAGAATTATTTTTCTATTTCATAATTAAATAATTATCGAAAAATATTCACTTATCGCAAATCAAACAAATTTACGGTTGACAAAAAATTATTTTTCCAAATTTTTTTTAGCAAAATATTTATTTTTAATAAATATTTAATTAATTATTTAATTAATTTTTAACAAAATATTTCGTTTAAATATTTTTTTTATAAATAATAAATATTTTTTAAAATATTTTTTTATTATTCATTTATTTAATAATTAATTGGTACTGAATTAAATTTAATTACTGTCAATTCCCAATGTTTATAAATCCCGTAAATAAAACCACAATAATATGATTTATCAAAAAAGGCCTTTTATGATTGAGATTATTAACTTTACCGTTACTTTAAGTACACAATTTATTTTCTAAATTAGAAGGCTCCGAAGGATCGAGGGTCAAATAGCGTTTAAATTGTCACGAAAACTTTCATTTTCAAAGTTGTGAGTCTTTAAAATTCTTCAATATTTCTAGAAGAAATTAAAAATATAAAATTAATAGTTTAAAAATCATTAAAATTTTTTTTTAATCTAATAATTGTATTTAAATATTAATATTAATAGAAATTTATTTAAAAATTAAAATAAATGAAAAAAATTCAAACAAATGAAAAATGGTTTCGACAAAAAGTAAAAAAACAAGAATAACTTGTTTATAAGCAATAATTAAAATAATTTGTACAAAGTAAACAAAATTGTGACGAATGAAGAATTTCCGACAAATGGAATAAAATGAAAAAAATAATTTCGATTACTAGGTGATCTAATTATTGATGTGAATTTATGACAAGTACTAATCAATGAACTGGTAAAAGAGATGCTTCAAGAATTATACACGACGGGATGTGATAACTGGTCAAACTACTTCCGTAATTCGTTATAACTTTTATTATAATGAGATATTGACCTAATTTCCAACGACCTGAAATTCAAAAAAGAAAAAACGAAATATTGTTAAGAATTGAATGAAACTCAATTGTATTGAGTTATTATAAATAATATTAATCAAAATATTTAAATGCATAAGAGCCATTTTAGATTTTTGTTTACCAAAATAAAAATTATATGATCATTTAAAAATTTAACATTTTTTTTTCCTTTCGGACACGTGGATCGATTATTTTAATTTAACGCTAACCGTGAAAACCAGAAAACACGAAAAAAATACAAAATTTAAATATTTATAAATCTAAAGACTGGATTGTAAATTTGAGAGGACCACCTATAAAGATTTTCGGAGATTAGTGTATACGACAAATAAATGTTTTAAAGATGAGACCAGCAAAAATACAAAATAGAAAACAATTTCTTCTGTATTATCAAAAATTTTCCAGAAATTCGAATTTTTAATAAAATTAAATTATCTTTAAATTTATTTATCTTGAAAATTTTATTCAAAAACAATTTTTGAAAGATTTGACTATAGTTATTTTTCACACTATAAAAATTGTAAAAAAAATTCTTCTCGAGAATTCAATTATTTCCATAAATAGCAAAATTCTTTTAAATATTATTTTTTTAAAAAATTCTTCACAAGAATTATGTTTAAAATTTTTTTTAAATTATCCTCAAAATTTTAATTATCTTTATAAATGATAAAATTCCTCTCCAAAATTCAATTATTTTCAAAAAATTTCCTTAATTCAATAATTTTCAATATCTAGTGTTTTAATAAAATTATGTAAAAGAAATCAATTATTTAACAAAAATCCTAAAAGAATTGAAATATTGAATTATCAAAAAAATATTTTTTTTAAAATTAATTCTCAAGAATTTAATTATTCTTTTCAGAGAAAATAAAAAATTTTACAGGAATTCAATTATTTAAAAAAATTTTTAATTATTTTTAATACGATTTTAAATAAATTTATCGAAAAATGCAATTATTCTCAAAAATGTTATTTAAATTCAATTATTTTTACAAGCAATACAAATTTTTTCTGGAATTTAATTACTGAAGAATTTGTAATAAAATTCTTTATAAGAATTAAATTATTTTCTTAAATATTACAATTCTTTAAAAAATCAATTATTTTCATAAATTATAAAATTATTTTTAGGAATTCAATTGTTTTTATAAATAATAAAACTTATCGTGGAATTTCAATTATTTTTAATACAATTTCAATCGAATTCCTCGAAAAATGTAATTATTGTTAAAAATGTTATTAAAATTGGTCAATAAAATTCAATTATTTGAAAATTTGTTGATAACGATTTTTTATGGGAATTGAATTTTATGAAACATTCAATTCAATAAATTATTTATTTTTGCATTTAAATAATTGAATTCTCCTCCAAATTTCAATTATTTTGATAAATAATTGAATTGTTCTCCACAATTCAATTATTTTCAAAAATTCTTAGTAAATTCTACGCAAACATTTAATTATTTTCATAAATAATAACATTATTTTGAAGGATTCAATTTTATAAATAGTAAAATTCTTTGCAGAAATTCAATTAGTATCAATACATTTTAATAAAATTGAATTCATCAAATTTTCAATTATATTTATGAACAAACAAGATTATTTTAAAAAATTGAAAAAATTCTTTGTTTAATTCAATTATTTTCCAAATTTTCAATTAAAATTAGTAAAAAAAATATTATTTTCAAAAAGTTTAAAGAAAATTGTCAAAAGAATTTAATTATTCATAAAAACTCTATTAGAAATTTTGGAGGCCATTTGTATTTATTTATGTTCGAAATGAAATAATGTTAAATTTGATAAGAAAAAAAAACCGGCAAAAATTAGGACAAAGTCGGGAAAAACCCAAGAATTTTGTTGATCAAAAATATAGTAGACACCCTGATTTAATAAAAAAAAGTGGTATTTTGTTGCAGTATTTTGAACAAAAATCCAAAAAGTTCCACTTCCATAGCCTGTATATTAAATAAAATGATTCGTAAATTTTAAATAAAAATAAAACATAAATATTGTCGACTCGATATAAAATCGGAACGAAATTTAATGATGTAAATAAATTAATGACTTACGGGTCGCGAGAATGAACTGAGTTCTTTAAGGAAATATGGTAAATGTCAAAGAGATAGTAGAGATGATTAACGGTATAACCGGCTGCAATCGTTCATGAGCGCAACCTTGTGATTCTTCAGGTACTTCGTCTAATACCAGAAATCCAACGACAATTTTCTTGTCACATCTATTAATTTCAATCCGCAAGAAATTGCACAAATGTCCTCTTCCCGTTTACTTTTTTTATAATTCGAATAATACTCCTTTTCATCACTATATTTATACTATTTCTTTACACTTCTTCTGTGTCCTCTTACACACCCGGATCTTTCATCTAAAATTATTTGTTCCATTAAACTACAAAGATATTCGCCTCCAGGCTCTTGAAACTGTAAAAAAAATACGAAAAATTGTTAAAAATTAAAATAAAGTAATAAAAATAAAATATAAAATTATGTTAATGTTAAAAAAGGCAAAAAAGAAATATGAGGAATTTCGTAAATAAATAAATTAATTATTTTCATCGATGCAGTAAATATTGCTTAAAGTGCCGAGTAAAATTTGTAAAAATTATTTTTCATTGTTAGTTTAATTAAGTAACTAGTGAAATTAATTTTAGTGTTAACGTTAAGGAATGTGGTGTTTAAAGTACAATAAATAAATTACCTTGTATTATTTATTCTCACGATTTATCCTCGTTTTCTTTGGTGAATTCAATTAATAATCCTAATTATTTAATTTCCGTTCTGTAATCAACAGAATGTGGCTGATGATAATGACCTTGACATTCAATACCAAGTAGTTCACGTGCATAAAGTGAAAGAAAAATGTAAGTTTCCTGACCTAGTGAATCTTGAGATTATACAATTTTTTTAGTCTGCAATAACTAAAGATTCATAAATACTAGGAATTTATTTATTTATTTATAATTTCCTAATGCTGAAATTATAATTAACAATTTAATTCCAGATTTAATTTGAATTTTAATTACTTTAATTTATTACCTATTCTCAAAATTATTTTAGAATTGTTTTTTTGTAAAAGAGAAATTTTCTTTTGGACAATCATCATTTTGATTATTTATCATAATCAACTCAACTGTCTTGTTGAAGATGTTACTTTCTCACGTGCACACTGCTCATTAAATCTTATCCTATAATTACTTTCATATACACAACGCACTTGTATAGTAAAATATTTATATTATGCACGTTTTTGTACAATTTTATTATTTTATATATATAACATAGGATAATTAAATTAATTTGCAATCTCTACGTGTGTGTATCAAGTATATATACATATATTTTACAAATTATTAATTAACTCTGATTTGTACATTTTTCTAAATCCTAAAGTGTCTATAAGCCTCGAGGATCGGATTTTAAACTTTCGAGCTATTTTAATTTATCATTATTCATCTATTTAAAGATTAAAAATTTTATTTTTCCGATCTTTGTATAATAGTTGCCAGTGTTTTTCTTCTTTTAACAAATAATAATCGAGGATTTTAATTTTATATGTTAAGTACTCGAGTGTTATTTTTTAAAAAATATATTTGAATAAAATGTACTTTTTCTAAAAATCGGTACATTTTTTTCTAACGATTGCGAAAGAATTGACATTCTTGTTTTGTTTGATTAACTATTTTATAGGAAGTGATAAATTACTTCCAGTCGACAATATCGAGCCTCATTTATTATTAATTCGTCGAGTGCTATAATTGTTGCGGTAATTAAAAGAAAAAAAATCATCCAAAACTTTGTAAAAGTCATTAACGTGCACTTTAAACACAAAAACGTATTTAAAATATCATAAAACTCTGCGGAAAAGCCACATAGAATTATAAGTCACATTGTTTCTAAAAACATTTTTTTCCTATTTTTATCATTTTTGTACGTTTAGAAATAATTCTAAAAAAAATTTATTTCGACATAATTGTTAAAAATTAAAATATTTGTTTATTCGCTTACAATTTTAATAAAATTGTAAGCGAATTGTCTAATAATGTAAAATAAACTAAAAAACATATACTCTGTAAAAGTTAACAAAAAAATGTCAACTGTTCTGTAAATGATTGGTTTCAAAAAATAAATTTTAATCAAAGATTAATATTGAAAACAGTTTTGTCATGACTTTTATCGCTTTATTGCGATTTACTTTATGTAGAGACTAGATATTTATTAGCCAATTTGCCAGAAAATTTCTTTTTCAATTGAGAGAATTTCAAAGTTATTAAAGATTTAAAAAAAAAATTGTCTGGCGAACAATACATATCTTTCGTCAAACTATATAATTAAAATCGTTGGGAAATTTGACTTTGTCTTCTTAATTAAAATATCATTAAAAGTCGAAAATTACATTAAATTAATTATCTTTAAATTATTTTAAAATGTGTTTATAATCTTTAAAAAGTCTTTAAAAAATTCAAGTTTAAAGATATTGCATTTAACAAAAATAAATTTTGTTTTTAGATTTTAATTTAATGTAATTGAAAACGTACGATAAGCAAGTTTTTTTTTGATTTTGAAATATTCAATAAACGAATTCGTACCTTACTTTTCTTTATCACATTATATCTTGCTGAAAAATAGGAATTGTTTGCTATTCGAATTTAGGCCTCAATCAAAATTTTCCTCCTTGAAGGCTAAATCTATTGCACAGCCTACGTCGTTTACTATAAAAGCTGGTTTACATAAACCCTCCTCAAGTGGCAGAAAGTCTCTCGGACAATGATCGATTATGAAATTGGAATCTCGTTTATGAACTCCAGTTTCCACTAAAATACTGATGCAAGCCTTTGCGCTGGGTCCCGTGATATTATTTCCCAAAAGGCTTTCCAGAGTTCGAGTCTTCGTTCCTTTTCCTTTTGTATAACGCGCCAAATACTTGTCATATAAATTAGCACCAAATACGTCTGTGTTAATATTGTCACTGGAAAAATTTTACAAAGTTTCATTACTTGTTTTCTTTCAACATCAAAAAATATTTTTTGATTGATTTCAACTTTTCGAATACTTTTAAATTGTTAACAGGGTTGCCACAAAAATTTAATTTTGTTTTTCCCTAATTTCCAGCATTTTTCCTGACTGATTTTGACTTTTCCCCTGACCCAAAAAAAAAATATTCTGATTTACTCTAAAAATTATTGGATACTCAAAAAAATTTTCTACATTTATTTGCAAATTTCTTCAAAAGTAAAATTATTCGAAAACATCAGTAACTTCTTTTTTAAATAAATATTTAATTTTGAACCCTTTTCAAAATTCAATTATTTCTAAAAATTCACACTATAATGCGTATTATAATTTGAGTATTAAGAAATACTCAAATTATAATTTAAAATTTTAGGTAAAATTCATTATTTATGTAATCAATTTTTATTAGAACATTTTTCGAGAATTCAATTATTTAAATACTAAATAATTAATTTATTAAATAATTAAAAATATTTCTTAAAATTGAATTTTTATGAAGAATTTTATCAAAATTTTTAATAATAATAATTCAATTTTTTCGGTGAATTTAAAAAAAAATTTAAGAATAAATGCAATTTTCTATCATTTTATTTAAAATTGTATAAAAAATAATTGAAATTCTGCCATAAGCTTTTATTAATTATGAAAATAATTGAATTCTTGCAACGAATTTTATTAAAAAATTTTTTAAAGAATTGATTTCCAGTGAAGAATTTTATTTGTGAAAATAATTGAATTTCGGAGAAAAATATTATTTATGAAAATAATTAATTTCTTGTGAAGAATTTTATTCAAATTTTTTTAAATAATAATTGAATTTCTCAGAATTTTTGAAAACTTTAAAAAAAAAATTAAATTCCATCGAAAAATTTCATTAAAAAATTGAAAATCATTGAAATCTGACGCAGAATTTTATTAATTTTTTTTTTAAATAATTTAATTCCTGTGAAAATAATTGCTCTGGAAAAAAAGATTATTATTTATGAAAATAATTAATTTCTTGTGAAGAATTTTATTCAAATTTTTAAAAAATAATAATTGAATTTCTTAGAACTTTTTCAAACTTTTTCAAAAAGAATTAAATTCTATCGAGAAATTTAATTAAAAAATTGAAAATAACTGAAATCTGACGAAGAATTTTATTAATTTTTTTTTAAATAATTGAATTCCTGTGAAAATGTTTATTTTTGAAAAGAATTGAATTCTTGGGAAGAATTTTATTAAAATTTCTTAAATAATTGAATTGCTTCGAAGAATTTTATTTTTTAAGAAAATAATTGAATTGTTTCGAAAATTTTTACAAACAATTTTTACAGTAATTGTGTTCCAAGGATGAATGATATATTTTACGAAAATAATATTATTCTATGATCAATTTTATTATAATTTTTAAAATTTAGAAAGCATTTTATCAAAATTTTTTAAAATAATTGAATTCTCGAGTAAAATTTTATTGTTTATGAAAATAATTGATTTCTTGCGAAGAATTGTATTCAAATTTTTTTAAATAATTGAATTCGCATAAAAAAATGTATTATTTGTGAAAATCGGTGAAAATAATTGAATTTTTGAGAAGAATTGTATTGAAAATTTTTTTAAATAGTAATAGAATTTTTAAAAGAATTTTATTTAAATTTTTCAAAATAATTGAATTTCTCAGAATGATTTTTTTTCAATTCTCTGAATATATTTGAATTTTTTCGAGTGAATTTCCTGTGAAATTTTTATTAAAATTTAGTTTAAATAATTGAATTTTTTTGGAAAATGTTATTAAAATAATAGATATTAAAAATAATTGAAATAATTTATAAGTAATAATTTTATGCCAGTTGTTCAAAAATGAAGTCATTTAAAAAGAAATTATTGTCAGAAATAGAAAAAATTGAAGGTTTTGTATTAGAATTCTTGACAATTTTATAGTTTATGAGGCAAACAGAAAAGACTCTAAAATTCAGAATTTTCTTATAAATACTAAAAATTTAATTTTTCCCAGTACTTTTAAGAAAAATCCCTGACTTTTCCCTGATTTCTCTGACCAATTCTAATTTCCCTGAACTGTGGCAACCCTAGTTAAGTACTGTAAAATATATAAACGATGTAAACATATAAGAATAGACAATAATTAAATAAAACTTACCCTATAGCATAAATAGTATCTACATTATGATTTATTCCGATAGTTTCCGCATGGTCTAGAATTTTATGATTTGCATGGTAATAAGTTATTTCGCTAGGCTTTCCAACAAGTGCAGTGTAAACCATATCCTTGCCAGTGACTTTTTTGTACAAATTTTCGAGACAAAGTAGAAAAGCACCGTGTCCATAGCGAGGAATTGGCGCCTCCGAAACCCACAATAAATCCATATTGCACGCCAATACGGGAATGTGCGGATATGGAATTGACGGTGGCATTGTTGCTGGTTTACCATTTGTCATTAAAAGATCCACCATTAATTGCAACGGTGTTTCCCATGTTATAGGCTCGCTAAGCAGAAGAAGGCCTTCTATCGTTGGAAAATTTGGATCCACAGGACCACTCACTGCAACTCGCTTATCTTTATTTACATAATCTAAATTTGGATAATTTCTCACTAATTCTTCTATCGTTACTGTCTTATTAAAACCTAATTCTTTAGCTATTTCACGAATTTTCCCCTGGCCAGATATTAAAACCTGTTTATCACGAAACTGATGAAACATCTGGAGCGGAGAATGTGCCATTATCACTTGATCCTCGGACACCTCGATTCCTGTCCAATTCGTTAAGTCTGCTGCCTTTTCACTTCGTAAGGCATTACCGCTGTTTGTCACAAAAACAGTGGGTACACGAAATTTCCCATCCGGTCCTTTGAGACGTGAAAAGGATTCACGAACGGGGGGCAAGACATTTTTTCCTCGAACAATCACGCCATCGATGTCGAAGAGAAGGCCAAATTTTGACTTGCTACTCAATTGCTGAAAAAGGAAAATTCATTCTAAGTACAAAGAGAAATTTTTTTATAATTGATTCATATTTGATTAAAGTTAAAAACAATATTTTAAGACTAAAATTGAAGAAGTATAAAAATATATATAATGATGTATTGTGTACTTGGTCTTGTCAAAGTCAAAGTAAAAATAAATTCACCTTGTCGCTGTAGCAGTTACAAGGTATTTATATTTTTATCCTTGTACACTGTATTTGCGAACAATATAAAAAATAGAAAATAGTCAATTTTAACACAAATTCATTGCTTTATCTTCAATAAAGAATATATTTTTCTTACAAGTTTCATCAATTACAATGTAATAAATACAAGTCTGTCATGTTGGATTTTTGTATAGTTCATTTAAAAAAAAAGTTAAATAATATTGACAGAAATTTCGAAATTTATGACTTGACAGTACAAGTTTAGTTATTTGGTTAATTGCTTCATTAAAGATACTGTACTTTGAACAGTGAGACAGAGAATTTGACGGAACAATTGATTACTATATTTAACTGTAATGAAATAAACAATGCTTAATTTTCACACTAATTTTCTGTTTGTAAAGAGAGACAATATTTAATAATAAAAGAAAAAATGTTAAATTCAACTTACTTTAATACCAAAAAAACGTATTATGGCAGGTCGTTTTAGAATTTGTAGAATCGCCATATCGTTGGCGAAAGATAATTAGGAATTTTCGAAAAAATGGAACTTAAAAAATATCCTATATTCACAAGTCACACATAATGGGATTCAATTTTATTTGAGATTATATCGAACACATTACCACATGCACAAACGCAAGAGGCACACAGACACCACACACACACAAAAAGAACGTGACAATTTTTAAAGGTACAGTCACAGCTGTGCGTTTGCCCTCTGCTGGGCGCTGGCTGTTGCTCTGCAAGAAAAGTGATGCAAGATATGAGAATAATTAAAAATGAATGAATAAATTGATTGATAATGAGTAATAGTGTCTTGAGATATTTAACGTATGACTTTAATTGCTACACTATTCATTTTCGTCAATATAAAAGACTTTAAAAGTTTAAATAATTTTTAATTTTTATCGTTTTCAAATTTGGTGCCACTTCTTCTGTAGGTAAGGTAGGCAACGGACCTGTGACTGTGATTGCACCTTTAAGTGTCTTACGTTCAAAATCTATTTTCAAATTCGAACCGTGATTCTAATTTAATCAAACGTGATTTTAATTTTACATCGACATGTGCTAATTACATATCAAAATATAATAAGAAATTAGAATAATTTACTTATTTACTTGCCGCAAAATTCAAATCATTTATTTACGTAATATACCGAGTACGTGTGTGTGTTTCAACTTCCCAACCCTGATTTCATGTCAATAGTGAACAGACCCTGGTTTTATTTTGAATTTTGCAAAAATTAGTTGTAATTACTTGTTTTATTTTATTTATCACAGTTGTTTTAATCCACTTTTTATATTTTGGATGAAGAATTATTGAAAAATCATTATTTGTTTTGAATAAGTGTGAAATAAGTGTGAAATGTGGTCAACGAAATTGGTTTTTTTCAGTTTTTTCTCCTGCATAGATATCCCCTCTCTTTATGAAAACTCAAGAAACGGACAAACGACGCTTGTTCGATTGTTACTTGCATCTCTCCACAGTTTCTCGTAAACCGTTGTTGGTGTTGTGTTTACATTGTCGAAGGTAAACGTACGTTCTTCAGTATACCTGAGTTTAATTATCACCGCAGAGAGCCGGGAAAATTTATTTTTCCAAATTTTTCTCACAAGTTTATTTAATTAATCTTATTGGAAATACAGGAGAAAAATGGCAGTAACTGAGTGTTACGGGATGATAAAATATATTCTCGTGTTCGTGAATCTCATATTCTGGGTAAGTTTATTTCCGCCCTTCTATATGTACAGATGTATTTTAGATTTTTATTACTTTTAATATTGATGTGTGATTTAACTAATAACATTTTTATTTAATCTGATTTCATACATTTCTATTATTTTATCATAAATTTGTTTTTTCGAAAGAAAAGTTATTACATTTTAAAATGTATTTTAGAGAATAGAATTTACTTTTATTTAAAACCCAGTCTTTAGTTTGTTTTTGTCTGTTATGAAAATGTAAAATTAGAAATAATTCGAAAGATTAAATTGCCTGTTGACAATTTGCAATTAACTGTTGAAAATAATAAAACTGTTTTTAAGAATAAATTTTAGATTTTATCTCGGAAAAAAGGAAAGATTCTTTAATAAATTATGTCTAATTTAGTTTTATCGATTCTTTTCTACTTCTTTTTTCTATTTTCATTTCTAAGCCTGAATTTGTGGTTTTATTTTTTTTCTTCATGTACCAAAATTAGAATCATTTATTAGTAAAATCTAATTATAATATTTAATGAGGTATTACTGAAACTCGTTTTTATGGATTCTGTATATTTTGTTTTATTTACAAAATTCCATTAGAAACAAGCAAAATATATCCGTTATCTAAAATGTGTTTACCAGTTTCGATTCACGAAACGTATGGAGAGAAAATCATAAACATATTTCAATCTTTCTTTAAACGTATAGGAAACATCTGCTCGCACTGATTACAAAGGACATAATATTGTCGTATTTTCACTAATGTATTTAATTTTTTTTCTTCAAATTTTATAGTTTATTTTTTTACAATCATTGAAGGCACACTAGTGAGTTATCCTATAAATTTATGATAATTGTGAAATTTATTCATTCAATTATAGAAATAAAATTTCCTGAATTATTGATTTTAATTATTTTTAATAAAAATTTACTTTTTGTAGTTTTAATGAGAATATTATAATGAAAAGTCTCATTGGAGAAAAGTACACTTAACAAGAAATACAGTTTCCATTATACAGAGTACAGACTAAAGTGTGAAATTCTTATCGTGGTGAATTCAAGTCTTGTTTTAGTGAATGTTGAAAGGGGGTACTAAAACGCTGAAAACATCTTTTCTAAGCGCACGTGCTGCTCATGTTGAAATTCGATTCTAAGATTAGCTATGTGCATACGATAATATACTTATAGTATAGAAGTCTAGCCCTATTGATTTCAGGGATTTTAGAAATTCTCTAGAGAAAAGAAAGAAAATATTTGTGAATATTTACGAAAGAAAGCTTTAAAAAAAGATTAAAATATCTATAAACTATTCCGAGTACTAAAAATACAGTAATAATGAAATCATAAATATTTTTATACTTTAAGATGATCTCACAAGATGCATCACTACTGTAACTATTAAATAACGCAACAAAAATGAATTCACTTGATGTAACAGTTTATTTTTCTTTTCTCGAAAAAGAAACAAAATTATTTTTTTTAATTAAATTTTTATATTTATAATAAAATTGCAAAGTGATGAAAGAATTTAGATAAACCTTTAATTAATTTTTCTGCGATAAGAATAAAATTACTTTTTGAATTAATATAGACAAGGTCAACGAACTTGTGTAGGAATAAGACATTCTTTCTCTCTAATTAGAAGAGAATTATAATTGTCAGAATTATTCACAAAATTAAACTGGAACTGTGAATGAAAAATATTTTTATCGAGAAATTCTATTCTCGGTAATTTTTTTTTTTTAATTATTTCTGAAAATGTAAATTCATTCAATTGCGATAATTTGTATGAGTTAATTAATTAATTTCTTTAATTTGATTTCAATTTAATTATTTAAAATATTTTGTTTTATTTATCTGGCGAAAGGTAAATTTGATAAAAAAGAGAAAAGTTTAAAGACTTTTCGCTCTTGAAAATGAATAAATCCTGTAGTAGTCTAGCGCAGCTTGTATCGATTTACTCTTTTCCCAACTCGTCTTATTTAAATGAAACGTAATTTGTGTTTTATATATTTTACATCAACCGCAGCTTATCAAAATGATTAATATACTATTAAAACATATGTAGGTCAGACTTTTATTTTATCAATCAATCAGTCAATCAAGTTCATTCTCGAACCTCAAAATAGCTTTATTTTCATCTAATTATATCCCTATAGACAATTCGATGACAATGTTGTTTTAATGTTGTGTATTTATAGAAATCTTACAGTGCTAATAAAGTTTTCCCTTATTTATAAAAATAGTAACAAAAATTATTTTTTAAATTTTAAATTCCTATTATTTAAATTTAAATTAAAAATGTTATTTAACTTTTCTTAATTTATGTTTCGAAAGTTTTTAATACTGGTTTAATTTTTAATCGCACAAGAAAATGGTAATTTATTTTTGTTTAGGTTGAAAATTTATTTTTAATAGAAAAGTAAGAAAGAGTTGAAAAAATTGAAAAAAAAAATTCTTTTTAATTAATTTTTTCTTTTTTTAAAGTTTTTTTAAGATATAAAAGTAAACTTTTTATTGTTGAAACTATTGAATATGACTGTACATCTTTAAGTTGAGTTCGTCGACCACGTCCTTATTTGACCCGTCAGTTTGATTATCGTCAAACTCCTACGATATATGAGAAGAAAAAAAATGACATTCTCACTTTCACACTAAGATAAGGATTTTAGTTGACAGTAATTGAGCAATTATTGCAATTATTGTAGTTTTGCTTCACTTTAAGGTGCGATCGTGACTTTCTGTTGTTGGAAAAATACAATTTATTTTAGATGTCGAAAATAAAGTTCCGAGCAAAATCTGATTATCCTTTTTCTCAACTTTCTCTGGCAATGAGAAAAGGGGCCTTTGTGTATACATGCATCGTGCAACATACGAAAATGTTCACATGAAGTAGAAAGTCAAATATAGTTTATTATATTGAACAAAAATTTATTATAATTTATATTTTGCTGTAAAAATTTATTTTTATATTTTTTCCAATTTTCCTTTCTTTTTATTAAATTATCAAATTTTTTAATCGAATTTTTTTTCTCATTCAATATAAAATAGGAAAATTAAATATTTATATAAAAAAGATTTATTTTTTGCAAGGTAGCAATTTGTTCGCGCTTGGCTATTTTCTGTCTCGTTTTCTCCTTTTTTTCCTCCATTTCTGTTTACCAACTTTAACCAGATGGCTTATTTAGAGGTAATATAGGTATAAAGCTTTTTTTGAGGTAATGAGACTCGATACGGATGATTAAGACCAGAAAATTATTATCAAGTTTGATTTCTTTTTTCTATTGCAATAATTCAATTTATCTTGACAGTCATATATTTATAAAATTGCGAAAATGCATTTGCAGCCTACTGGTATTAAAACTTCCTACACGATTTTATAAAAGCCTTGAGATATCGAGAGACAGCTGCGGCGAAAGCTCGAGGAATTTTTTTTTCAAATTCTTTCCAATTTCACTTTATTGCAATAAAATTTTACTTCCTTTTTTCAAACATTTTTTATGCATATTTTCGAAGTTTATGTTTTAAAAAAAAAAAAAAAAGAAAGAAAGAGTGTCATGTTCAAGGAGAAATAATTGAAATTCCTGGCACAGATCCAATATTCCATTAACTACTGTTATGTTTACTTATTATTTTTTGTTTTCCGCCTTGTTTTAAAGAAGCTCTTTTTTGTTTATTTTTTTCTTTATTAAATTTCAGTATTTTTTTACAAGCGACTAATTTTTATTGTGGAAAGAAATGCATAAAAAATAGTTATGTATTTCCGCATTAAATTTATTAAACGGTAAATTTATTTATTAAAATGGTTTTATTCGTTTTATTATTTGGCGATAAAGAAAAGTACATTCGTTTTATTATTTTATTTAATTAAGGAATATTGAATAATTTAATATTATTTTTATCTTACATTAAAATCTTCACTATAACATCGTTGTTAACTCTTAAAGTGCCTTTCCTAATATGTTTCATTATTATTGTGATAATAAATCCCTAAGAGGTTCTAATTAAATTGGAACTCAAATTGAATAATAAAATAGGACACTTGGAATTAAAATTTTGTTAAATATAAAAACAGAATTTTTTCACTAACTATTTTTTTATTAACTTTGCTTAATAATAAATTTAATTTTAATGAAATAAATAAAATAATAATTACATTAAAATTTCGAACATTCAAATAAACGAAATATTTTTTTCTATTTAAGTATTTTCAAAAATTTTTATATTATATTAATAATTTATTATATTTATATTCTAATAATATATAAAAAAATAATTTTTAAAACTTAAAAAAGAAAATAAAATAAAATTCGTAACTTTAATTTAAGTATTAAATTGAGAGTTAACTGAATAATATTCTCTCACCTTGAACTTTATATCACATTTTCAAGTTGATAATAGATACAAATGTTTCTTTTTTCATTAAATTTCTTAATTGTTTATGAAAAATTGTGTGATGGAATTTTATTTTTAACAATTTTTTACCAATTTTTTTATACAAAATACCTGATATATTTTTTATTTTTTTAAAAATCTATTTACAAATGTTGAAAATTTATAAATAAAAAAAATACAATACAATTTTTTAATTTTCATTAATAATGAACATTTTTTCATTATTATATTTAGATTTTAATACAAGAAATGCAATAAAATCCTCGAATTTTATTATAAATTTACAAAACATGAAATATATATTTTTTTTAAATAAACAATTGTAAATTCTATTTAATAAGATTTAAAATTGAGATTTTTCCAACGATTCCAATGCAAATATGTATTTATGAGTATAAAGTTAACTGTGTTAAGTCTTTACCTGTGTTATGCTTATACAGTCAATAAAATGAATGCATCCCTGAACGTAACGGTTTATAACAATAGTCATGTCCAGAAAAATGATTTCACATTCTTTAAACTTCATATTATACTAAATGTTTCTATAAATTTATGAAAATACCGCTTAAAATAACAATAAATAGAAAAAAAGAAAATTCATAATTGTGTTTATTCTTGAAA